CCACGCCATTGAACTTTCAGCCATGCTTGATGATGAGGGGAGAGAGTTGGTTTGATAGCTAGGGTGTGATTGCAGGACTCTATATGCACTTGAGACGGTGTATTTGCCATGGGTGGTGTAGTGCCAAATCCAAAAATCTCTATTGGTTGTTTTGCTCAGGGGAATACTGGAGATGCTGTCGACTTCTTCCAGCCAGAATAAGTGCTTGAGTGAGTCTTGTTTCCAGGTTCCAAACATTATAAATAATTATGGGGTTTTAATATTTCTAAACATTGTAAAAGGAATTGAAAATTTCTTTAATTCATTTACTTTTCTTGACTAAGAATGAGATTATCATTATTCTATTTTACCTTTTCTTTTTCCAGGGGGGAGTTCACCGGTCAGAACCAGTTTTTGTACCGTTGCCGGTCGATCAACCCTCCTTTCTTCTTTCGGCTTTGTCGTCTCCTTCTTCTTCTCTTTATCTCTGTGCATCCAATTCAATCGGCAATTTCACGAAAGCAAATGCTCCATGAATCTTTGCTCCTTGCACAAAAGGGTTTTTCGCCCAAAATCTGAAGCCTTTCAGAAAGGGATTTTAGGGATTCAACCTCCCCGTGTCGGCTATCTATAATAGTAATGGCTATCAATTGGGGTTTCTTCTTTCGGCTGTCTTCTCCATCTTCTCTTCTTAATCTTACTCTCTCTGTGCATCCAATTCATTAGGCATAATCAAAATCCATTTCTTCATGAATCCTATGGGAGAATTGTGAGCGAGAAGAAGGATTTTAGTGAAATTGATGAAAGTGATCATTTTTTGAAAGATTTCTGCTCTTAAAGGCTCTTCTTCATCAGTTCCTTCTTCACATCCGATTGAAGTGATGAAGCATCGGCAGTGAGTTATTATTATTGAAGTAGATGACGATGACAATGAAGGCCCTCTTTGCATACAATCTTTTAGGTTCAGATTGAGGACATGGTTTAGTTGCATGTCAGGTGCTTGTTTTTTGTCCTGGGATTATCAATAGGATCAATTATTCATGCTCTTTTAAGTGAACCAACGGAAGTACAAAAATTTAATCAGGATGCAACTGTTCCGGTTCCTATGATGCCGTCGGTGGCGAAGAAAATGGCAGATCATCAAGATGGGTATGGGTGGAAATGAAGAGGCACGATGATAAATAGAACGGTAAGCCCATTGGTCAATTTTTCCTTCTATGTTCATATACTATGTTTTTTCACTTCTCAACTCATTGAGAACTAAAAGGATTTGATTAAAGAGTTTCAATCCATTTAATTATTGATTCTTTGGTTTTCTTTTAGTTAAATTTTATTTGATCCAGGTGAAATCTACATTTTTCGTAAACTGGTTTTTGTAAAAAAAAAAAAAATACTAAAATTGAGAATTGCTGATAAATTCGTTACGTCGGAACAACACACCTTAAGAGTAGTAGAATGAGTTATTCTAACCGGCGACCTTCCCATGGCGACTCCAATTGTTCTGATTTGTTTTTCGCTGTATTCTAATAGCTGATTGTGTGATCTTCAATATATTTTTGTTTCGGTTGCTACGTTGTTTCGGGCCTTGCGGCTGCGGGGTTAGGTGGGAAATGATACATTGGATCCTTTTGTAAGTTGCATGCTAACAGTTGAATCCAAGTCGTAAAGAAGTTAGCTCACTCATTCCAGTAAATCTATTGTAGTTTAGAGAATAATTTTGCTTTTGGTAACACGCAGGTTATAATTAAGTAGGGAGCCTGCCTGTCTAGAAACCTGTATTTTCCAGAGCTCCGTGTTATAAGCTTTCCAAAAATCGAGAAGAAAAGGCAAATAAATAAAGAAAGAAGTTGGTGCTACAAAAAATGAAATACAGATTCCTTAATTCTTCTTGTAATGTTGTTCATACAATAATCGGGAAAAATATATATCTTGGCATTGTGGAATTTGCCGGAATTATTGTATGGATTCTATACGAGATTTGTGAGTCCTTGTAGAAGTGATGAAGTGGAGTTTTAACAGTTACCAGCTACCATCCATAGTTGAAAGTAAGATAAGGTATATTTGATTAGATGTATTTAAATAATCAGACCAGGTTGCTAATTGCTACTTGTCAAAGAAATGGTCCCAATGATAATATGTTCTTTGTTTCTTTTAGTACTATATCTTCTTGAGACGAATTCAGCATGATCAGATTTCAATATTGTACATTCCATACTGAACTAATGCACGGTTCTAGGGACGGATTAGGTCGTGTTGTTGCTGTACCAGTAAGTGGAATGTTATCCCCAAGGTACAGAAGTTTGCACCCTGAATCTCCTACAACTTCTGGAAACTTTAACTTCTTCTGGCGTGAGTAACTGTGTATTTTCAGGTTGGAGAAATATCTAGATCATTTCTCTGGGCTCTATTTCTGGCGTTGCAAAAATCCAACTCTTTCTTGACCATGCTTTTGTTGCTCTTTGAGTACAGAATGAATAGGATTCCAGTGGTCGACTTGGGTGAGAGAGAGATTGAAAACATTATAATGCAATCAGCTGTTATAAGCATGCTTGAGGAATGTTCTGGCCTTCATTGATTTGAGAGCTGGGGTTTAAAAAAACTGTAATGAAGCCCAGTCACATTATCTAGGTACTAAACTTTGTTATATTATCGCTTTAAGTGTTAATGATCTTTGAGTTGCCTAAGTGCTTTGTTGTGACCTTCAAATTTGGCAGTGAGCAAATACTATATAAGTGTTAGAGTCATGTGCTGCATTTTCTTTCCCTTCATTAATTCTTTGCAATATCCTTCCGCTTGAATCCAAAGAGTTGAAAAATGGAAAAGGTAGGGAATGGAGCCTAGGGACTCAAGAGTGTCATGTTGATTTCTTATCACAGCAAGCATTAGGTTCAGTTTCGTTGTGGACGACTGGTATATATATCCTTGAAATTCTTTCATGGTCAAGTTTGTACTGATTTTTGTTCGCATTAGGTCAAACTTATATTCTTCACACTATAAAACTCTCATTTCGTATCATTCAAATGTCCATATACCAAAAACGCATTGCAGGTTTAATAGATGAAAAATTAGTCCAAAAAAAAAAGGGTCTAGCACATTCTTGCATTCATCTCGGCTACTGAAGTCTCAGATTTCAATAAATCTTTTATAGTCATGGGAGTGTGTTACCCTATTCCATCTTATAACTATTATTTTGTTTTATTATAACATTTATTATTTGGTGTTATTACCCCTATATTTTAATACAGAGAGGCTATTTAAATATAGCCCAACAACGACTTGACTCTAGAATGACTAAAATCTATACTGAGCATTCTACAAGGTGTTTAAAGGACAGGGAAATCCTTTCTTTGTATGTAGAAAGGTTCTAACTTCTAGACTATATTGGAGGGTTCACTTCCATGCTGAACTTTAAAAATCAGTTGGTTTATTTCGGAACCCAAAAATCAACATAGGATATAGATTGTTTAGGGAACTTTTTACTTGAACGTAGCATGTTTCATTTTGTGAAGAGCTTTAATATACAAGGTTTTCCCTGTTTGAAGTCGTATTGAGTAGTTCCATCTGTTTTCAAAAGCTATTTCGTTAGAGCTAATGTACATTTCATTTGCAGATCTACACAATGAAAAATTTCTTGACATCAGAGCTTCAAAAGGATTCCTCACTCGTGAGGGCCATGGTTACATGCCAAAGGTAGATGATCAGTGGAATGTAAAAGGAGTATTCACCTTAAGAGACATCATTTCGAAGCTGGTACATGAGCCCCAAGGAGACTTTGGTGACTTCTCTGATGGTGTCTTGCCTCTGCCTAAGAAAAACAGGGTCTACCATAGGCCAGCGATGTTTTCCTTCAAAGGATAGGTTTCAGGTCTAACATCTTGTTTTTGGCATTTTGGTAGTGTCTTCTCTTGTTTCTGTTAAACAAAGGCTTCTCAAAATACCCAGATGACTTGAAGAAATGGCATACACAGTCGCAGCACGAGTGCGCCAGAAAACTACCTACAAGGAGGGTGAGCAAGATTTCTCTTGGAACACAAAATCAAAGAATGCAAGGTGAAGTACGGTTCTGATTAATAATTAAGAATTGGATTTGTTTTACTACTAAATCAAAGTTAAAACTTGATGACTGATTAGTTACAGCTTGATAGGGATAAACATGACTGTTGTTGATTGGTGAGAGCATCAATCAGTCGGACATGACTGTTGTTGATTGGTGAGAGCATCAATCAGTCGGACATAATTTGTCAATTTATTTGCCAAGAAAATCTGTTTAGCTTTCTTCAATCCTTTTTTCCAGTGTATTTATGACTGAAAAGGATTTGGATCTGGCAGTATTAAAAATATGCCAAATCCAGTTACGAAAATAATCAAGATTCAAGAACTTGAAGCCTGCCCGAAAACGAAGAGATCAGTCTTCGGTGTGGATTTTCCTATTGTAGTAAATGATCTCATATGGAAAATTTCACAGGATTTTTAGGCCTCTTTGCTCTCGGTGATACAAAAGGAATGCTTTCACTTGAAAGTGGAATTCTCATCATAGATTTCAGTTTTTTTATGGTTCAATCTATCAAGATTGAGATTGTATATAAAGAGATGAGTAGTTGAACTTAAAGGTAATTTAACATCCTGTATTTGTTAAGACTTACTATTTTATCAAAGAATTTCTCTTAAAAATTAATATTAGTGTTGAATTGGCTTTCATTTTGCCACTACTTTCTGTCTTGAGATATTTATTTTAGGTAATATATCAAATGTGCACAATGGGGAAACATCGAGTTACAAGCAAACTAAAACGAAAAAGTAAAAAGAAATAAATAAAGGGCTTCTTTCTTAATAAGCAAAATTCATGATTAAATGTTAAACTGTCAATAAATAAACAGAACCCAGTTTCGATCCTATGTATGACAAAACTAAAGTTGACAATATTTTGTCTTCTAAAATCGCATCTACAGATCAAGGGGCTGCAAACCTAGGATCTTTCTAAGAAATTATCAACTTCGAATTATGCTCGTTTTGTCCACAAATCAGGGGCTGCACAAATTCTTGAGATCTTCTTCCTGGGCATACCAACTAGGAATTATCTTTGAAAGGTGAGGATGAAGATCCTTGTATGAATTTCTAATTGTCCCTTCAGCAACTCCTGTTGCAACTGAAACGTCTGCAGCAACATATTGTTCACAGTCACGAAATGCTTCATAAAAAAATTAAAAAAAAAACAGCTCATTACACAAGCAAAATGTGCGGACTTTCGAGTGGAAGACATGAACAGTTTAACGACCTGTTGGGCGTGTGGGGGGACATAGTCCGCCTGTCCTTAAACTGTTTTATCCAGTAAGGTTCTCACTTTTGAGGTCCTATGATTAAATCACAATTCAGTACCTTTAAGGGGCTTCTTATCATCTGAAAGCTGGGTGACAATGTAAATGACTGCAGCAGCAATAGATATGGGACTCCTCCTAATAAATTACAAAGGTAAGAGAAGCTGTCAGAAAGAATGGAAATCAAAGAAACACATAGCACCTCGTGCACGTTGTTAACGTTGCTCACATTGAAATTACGAAATTTGGAGACATCATTCGAAATCATATAACTTTGCAAACTAACCCAAGGTGTCCAAAAGAAAGACATTCAAAAACTTCACGCAAATATATTTTACCTTCATTGTAACAGAACCAGATGAAAAAAAAGAAAGGCAGTTTAAAACTGGATCCTGCAAGCTCAGCCTCACTCGAACCAAGTTAGTTTGTTTAATCCCGGCGATCACTAACAAACTACCCAAACCCATGTCACCCTGTTTATCCAAATGACAAATTTCATAATTACGAAAATAGGAGGGATAAGCAACGTCAAGCCACCAAATCCTTCTCTCAAGACAATCATGTCATGATGGTTCAAGCCCAAATATTCACTTCAAATCCATCAACTAATCACTATTCCATGTACAACTATGTACACTTTTTGGTACCAATTGTTTGACGAATCAAATCATCTAGTATCCAAGAAATTAACTTTCAAAACTAAACTTCGAAGAAAATAACAGATCATACAACTTGAATGTAATGGTCTATCATGTTATCTACAATGATGAAGCCCAAATATAAGAAACATGAAAACTCGAGTTCAATGTGTAAAGAAACAGAATTATTCTCCTGTTTTGAAACATTTCTACGACAGACTAGATTAAAAGCTTCCTTTCCAGTCGAGAGAGAACCTGGATGAGTGCCAATCAAGCTGGGAAAAAGAAGCATACAAGTTGTAAATTTAGTTGCTATATTTATTTCACTGAACTTATTCAGTTAGGTTTTGAATTGAACCAACATTTGGTCCAAAGACATGTAATTAGTTTCTGAAAAGCGCTGCTTTAACAGTGAGCAAAGGAATATAAAGTACAGGCTAGTAATTTTCAAAATGCTACAAGATCATGCATACTGAATGTTTATATCTTGTAGAGTTCTAAATCTTCTTATACCTGATGTCAAACTCCTCTGATTTTTTAACAGCTTCTTGGGCAGCTTTAACTGCTTGGTTTGTCATTCCAAGGTTAGAACAGAACCGTCTCTGCAACGATTAAACTCTTGGTGAACCAAAAGAGGAAGCAATAATAACAAAGATCTTCCAAGAAGAAGATTAAAAAAGCAGCAGCAACATTTTATGGGGGTTCCAGAAACGAAAATCCTACCATAAAATCCCCAGCGTGAATTGTCCCTATAGGCACAGATTGACCCATCTCAAGCTCTAGTTGTTTCACAATGTATTCTTTCGCTCGGCCAATTTCCTTCTTCGTTGCACCATTCGCAACAGAGCAAATCTCTAGTTTAATTCCACAGGATCAAGAAAGCTCATTCACAATTATAAGATAAACCAATAATCATCAAACTTCATAAGTCTTAAGCTGTACCCTTAACAGTTCGTGGTTTATCCTCTTGTCTACAAGCAATATATAAGCAGGCAGCCAATATAGCATCCTGATTTCTTCCTCTACTGGACTTTTGATCTTCCACCTTTTTGTAGATCTCATTAGCCCGGTCCTTCGAACCATAGAAATAGTATCAAATATTAGCAAGTAAGCAAAGAAATCCACATCAAAGGAAGCTACAAACGATACAGACAAACAAGGATGATTGAAAAGAACAGAAATATCCAGATATCAGAATTACTCAACGATGTGCCTGCTTTAAAGACATGCGTATATCATTACAGTAGCAAGATTTGACAAAATGCAAAGTGAAAGAATAGAAAATTAAATACAGATAACATAAAACATGATTGACAAAGAAATTCTAAGATAAAAACGATGAAACCAGTACCAGTGGAGAACAAATTCATAAGAATACCATAGGACTCTACATCAACATAAACATCAACATACCCACTATATTCCCGACCAAGTTGTTTAGCATATACTCTATCGAGGAAAAATTGATTTCTGACATGGGAATTAGTAACGTAAATGATCTGTAAACAGTGATCCTCTTAAATCATGGTTTCCAAATAACACCGCCTCCAAACAAAAGCAAATAAGGTAAATGATCACATGCAAAAATATGGGAGTTAGTGAGGCACCTTAATTGTGGCAACTAGACCCAGCCTGCAAGATCCAGTTAAATAGTTTAGAATCTCGTCAATAAAACTGTAAGATAAAAATAAAACAAAAAAAACATAGTACCTTGGCTAAAAAAAGTATGTAAACCAGTCTAAATTGCTTAACAGAAAATACCACACAAGTCCATGGAATAACGTTTTGATAAAAGAATGCACTTTGGCTTAAAAACATCAGTAAACTCAGCAGAATAACTCAACGTAACACATAATCAACCCAAAAAAAATTGCAGTTCAGAGCCATAGGCGAACAAACACATCAATTCACATGGGATTACAAATAGAAAATTTAGAAATGATCAAGCATGTATTACCTGAAGTGACAGAGTAGAAGAATAATAAAACCAAAGCAGCCAAAGGAACAATGTCACAGCAAATCATACTAAAAACAGATACAAAAGCCCGCTTTCTGTCTAACTAGAACCCACAAATCCTATCAACGTAACACTTCTAACTGATATACCCACACCACATACAGCATTACACCTTGCGACATCACAGGTAATTCAACATCTAGAGTGTTACTGACACTGGATCCCTCAAATAAATACGGCTAAGATGTGAATTTACTGACCCATGATCAACCCACGGATGATGCAAATGGTCTAGCAAAACTGTTATATTTACACATTCCAGTGCAATTAAAATGTATGAACTATGAGAAAGAATGCAGCAACCCAGTTTGGTGTCCGGATGTCATATCAGTGAAGCTTCGCAGAAATAGTGCCAAGTGTGAAGACATTAGATCACAAAGTTGGACAAAGTAAAGAAATTCCACAACTTCTCTAACAATACCCTCCAAAAAATGGTGTATGCAACATAACAATCCTAGAAGTATACCAATTACAACTTTACAGTCAGAAAAAGAATTTCATTCACACCAGTAATTATGAAAAGGAACAATCTTTTTGCCTCGGATTCAATTTGAAACATCTCCACACTCGCTAAACAATACAAACTATCCAACTATACATTGTACAATGATAATCTTCTCGGATGATTCCAAAAATGGCATGTAAAAGAAGCCATAATCCATGTATTCGAGACAAAAAGAGAAAAAATTAAAAAACATCACAACAACATTGTCACCCTCAAAAGTTTTCACTAAGCATCAGTCCTCAAAAATTCAAGTTCAAAACATCTTCGAAAACCCAAAAACCTACATTACATCGCGTCCAAATCACCAAAATTAAAGTTTAGAAAAACAAACACAATTCAATTTCAACGAACCTATCAGACATGGTGGCGATGGTTTTGAAGGCCAAGATAAGGGTGCGATCAGGGTTGGACCCACGATTCTGCCAACGACCCAGCGAAGATGTCAAGAAATCACTGGTGGTTCCATTGGGTTTGGAGATCACGGTGGACAAACCGCCGTCCGTGAGCAGGGGATTAGTCGGCCCACCCACACGAACAGGGTCGTTATCCCCTGACTCATTCGCAAACGTCCTCCACTCCGACGTCTCGTCAATTGAATGCGACTCCAGAACCAGCCCGCATTCCGAGCAAACCGTGTCGCCGGCCGAATGATCAAACACCACCTCCGTACTCTTCTTACAATCCGAACAATATGCATCCGCCATTTTAGAATGAAAGGAGTGAAAGAAGACGGAGAGGAAAAAATGGGTTTTAATTTGATTTCTTCTTCTTCTTACAATGTTGTTATTATAGAGAAGAAGATTGAATTTTGGGAATGAATTGGGGGAATTGGAAACGGTGGAATTTTTGTTTTTAATGTTATCTGTTTCGGCGTCGCTTAATCCTCTGTAGAGCGGTTTCGTATTTCCAGTGTGTGTGTGTGTGTGGAGAAATTATTAAAGACTTTGATTTTGTTTTGTTTCGTTCGTTTGTTAGTTCGTTTGTTCGGTCGGTTAAGACTGAAATCAGTTACGTGTGCGTGTGTGACAGAGTTTTTAACTTTAATTTAATTATATTATTATGGTTAGGAAACTCACGTCTGTTCCATGAAACTATGCTTACTTGGCTTCACTTTTATCTTCAAGTTTTTAAATTTTGTTACTCTACAATTTTTATTTATTTTTTTTGGTCGGGGTAGTAAATAAAGTAAAAAATACCATTCAAGTAATTCGATTCACATCACTAATAAATACAATGAACAATAGTTTTGGCACAACCTTTTCCAAAAAAATAAATAAATAGTTTTGGCACAATTAATTTGTAATTAACTCATTGGCTGAGTTGTGATTTCTTTTCAGAGGAAAATGGTTGATTGTCATCACATAAAACACAACTACATATAAGTTATTATTACGAATTTTCAATAAATTTATCAGTTTTCTTAGGCTAGTTATGCGAGAATTTTTCTTCGTATATATAATAGATAGTACCGATTTCTTTTACTCATTTTTAGTATATATTATATTAAGAATGAAAATTCAGACTGGATAATTATTTTGAACAATGAGAGTGTAAGATTAATGGTAAGATTTTATTTCAACACATGGTTTAATTCAATTAATACAACGCTCAGGTCAGATTTTAGATATTGGTCTCACACAAATATCTACCATTCTTTATAAGAAAATAAAATAAGAGAAGAAGAAGAAGAAGAGATATTTGTTTGATGACTTTTCTAATGCTCTAACTTTACTTTTGGACCTTGATTGTCGATTCTCAAACCTGGACTGATGTTACGCCAATATATTGTGGTATTTTCTGCAAGTTATATTTGCTTTATTTTTTTAATAATTTTTTAGTGTAGTAACATTTATAATTAGTTAATACCATTAGTGGTGGATACAGGTAACTATTCTCATAAATTTTCTTCTTCTTTTTATGATACCACAGTGAGCTTCAACTAATGATACAACACACTGAACTAATGAACAAATTTTAGAACATATTTTCACTTGTTGAATTATTTTAATTCAACAAAATGAAACTTCTACTTAAACTTTCTGGCAGTAAAGAATGATACTACTTAGATCAACAAAAAAAAAAAAAAAAAAATCTAGATTAATTTACTTCCCCTCCAATCTCTTATACAAAGTGTTGAACTTAATCCTATATATAGATTAGTAAAGAACATAGAATTCAATTTAACAATTGATAATTTGGGCACAATGAACTGTGTACTTCATTAGTCAACTCTCTTATATGCTTAGATAAAACGCTTAAGGCGGAAGTGTAATACTAATTTTGTTTGAAGTATCGTACATAATCCTACTGAAAACATGCAATGCGTATCGATTTTGATCCCAAAAAAAAAAAAAAAAAAAATGGGTACTTTGTTTGATTTGCACTTAAAGGACTAATTTTTCTTCTTTTCATTTCTTCCCCAGGAAAACTCAAGTCTCCGATACCGTCAGGCATGCACCAATATTAGTCTCTGCAAGTGTTCTCTCACGAGCCTCAAATAGACAAATCATTAAGATCACTGTATAGTTCAAATTAATTACATCTTTCGATTCAAAATAATAATAATCATACTTATAATAGATTAAAATAATAAATTAATTAATCTACTATAAAGTTATAATTTGTGACCGGAAAAATACTATTTAATTTCAGTACCAGTATTCTTTTGTTTCTTTCGGCTCGGAAAACATAAAATATAATGTAGAGATGAACAAATTAAAGAAGTCAATCTGGAAAGGAGATTTTCCACTAGACAAAGTGGTTCAAAAAAAATAAAATAATAATAATAATAACAACAACCAACAATTCCAAGTTGCAGGAAACGAAAAAGAAAATGGCACTATCTCCAATTTATCAAGTTATATACCCTAGAAAGAATTTTCCTTGTTTCCAGTGTCATTGCACGTTTTTTAAAACAATTTTTTTTTCCAGGTACCGATATACTTCTAAGAATATAACTTAAATATTATGAATGAAGTTTTGAATTAATTTCTGACCATTAATTGTTACCAAGTCATTTTGTATTCTTAAAATATCTGGTGGGCAGATTTTGAAGGGCTCAATTCCGCCTGTAGTCCACATTGTCTTCTAAGTTTTAAGTTTTAACAACGATAATAAAAAAGAAAGGAGAAGCTAAGGAATTGCAGCAGGTTAAGTTCCATAGGTGTCTCTTTCTGTTTTGGTAATGTTCCAGTTTTATCGGATTTTCCCAAAGGATAAAAAGCTTGATCATGCATGGCTCCAATAAATAATCAGCAATTGATAAAGCCTATGTGACAAATTTTCCACATGTACAACTCAATTGTCCAAAATTTTGCAATGGGTAAGTAAGGAGGGAAAATGGTAAATGGTTGTTACATTGTTTTTCATTCTACACCATCAAAAGGCAACAACAATATCCAAAACTAAGATTTTGGACTAGAAAGATTTTTGAGATCCTTTTCCTTGGCAAACCATTCTGGTATTATCTTTGCTGCATGGGGAAAGAGATCCTTATATGCATTCTTGATTGTGCCTTCAGCAACTGTAGTAGCCACCGAAATTTCTGCATCGACAATTTCAATCAACAAACATGCTATTCAAATTATAAATTGACACCTACATTTATAGCTAGATAGATCACGGCAAGAGCTCCAACCTCTCAGGGAAGGTTTCTTTGAATCTGAGAGCTGAATTATCATGAAAATTATGGCTGCTGCAATAGAAATGGGGCTCCTCCTGTAACAAGAGGAACAATGATATGATAATTGGTTAAAACAGACATTCAATCCAATACCAAAGTTTCCTCTTATAAATGAAATAGGACATCAACTTCCTGTTATTTACTCACAGGAACGAATGAGGACCTAACCTCACAAAGATCAGCAAAATAAACCTGACCCAACTCAAATGAGGCACGAATTGAGCCAAAACCAAATCATCCCTAAACATGAAGGTTTATACTCCAGATAGTTTCATTTTTTGATAGTTGGAATCATTGGCACATCTCAACCCCAAGATCAACAAACATGTTGAGCAAAAATCTGTCTAATCGATTACCACAAAATAAACCAAATTCCTTTTGCCAACTAAGATAGATTTAGAAACGTGCTATTAACCCCTTATGCTTCAACGACCTTTTCAATTATCAGAAGTGACCATCAACAGCTTACCCCGTCACTAACCCTTCGAATACTACCAACATCAAAACATCAGGATCCATACACAAGCCATAATCACACCACTAATCTCAACATTCAAGACATTTCAGACATAGCATGAAGTAGACAAACAGCTTTATCCCGTCACTAATATACTACCAACATCAAAACATCAGGATTCATACACTAGTTGTAATCAGTAATCACACCAACTAATCTCAACATTCAAGACATTGCAGACAAAGCGTAAAGTAGGCAAAGAAATAATTGCGGCTGGATGCGTCAAAAACTTTTTCTTTTTTTTTTTTTTACCCAAAATACTTATATCCAACTGCAAATGACACGGATATGATGCACCACATGCAGGCAAGAGAACGATCAGAGTTGGAATTTCAAACAGTACATAATATGATGCATCTGGAAGTACATAAGAAGCATCAGACACGTGCTGACATCAATGAAGGGAACCAGGCAAGCAAAAACCAAAGATATGTCCATTCAATGTTTATTTCAGATAAGACTTCAGGAAACCAGGGTAGATTTTACCTTATATCAAATTCTTGTGACTTCTGAACTGTTTCTTGGACAGCTTTAACCTCTTCATTGCTCATAACAAGGTTCGAGCAAAATCGTCTCTGAAACATCCATGAATGTATATCAGGATATGAAAATTATAATATCTAACAAATAAGAAATGTCCAACTTCAGAAAGCAAGACTTCCCCCTATAAATCAGTATCACCCAGTAAAAGCTCCTTAAAATTAATCTAGAATTCCAGAAAAACTCACCAAATAGTCACCGGCATGTATTGTTCCCATCTCCATTTTGTCCCCCATTTCAACCTTTAACTGCTTGACAATGAATTCTTTTGCTCGGCCTATTTCTTTCTTTGTGGCTCCATTGGCAATAGTACAGATTTCTAATTTAAAGTCAAAGGCTCAGAAGAGTTCACATACCGGAAGAGAAAACCATAATACATTAGGTGTATGAAGCACTTTAGATAGCACCTTTTACAGTACGAGGCTTTCCCTCTTGCCTGCACGCAATGTAAATGCATGCAGCCACTAATGCATCTAAGTTCCTTCCCCTGGTACACTTCTGATCTTCCAACTTCTTATAGATCTCACTTGCCCGATCCTTTGGGAAAAAAAAGAAACAAATAATCTAAAACTGTACGAAGAGAAGTGATATAGAGATCGGAAAAGCGTAAAAATTTTATTAGTCCAAGATCAGGCAATATACGGCAATGAAACCATAGCAAGATAAGACGATCATGAGTTGATTTGTCTCCCCTAACCAATTTAGGACAACATATAAAGTACAAGACTCAAAAACTTTGGCCTGGAATAGTAAGCATATGCCTTATCCACCCAGTCATCTATCAGGTCAAGAGTAACAATGAAGATGAGCCTATTTTACTCTACAATGCATGCAACAGTTTCTTTTAACGATTCAAAATTAGCACATCGTTTTCAAGTAGAAATCCCAGGTAAGATCATTTTCAATGGAAAAATGGCAGGCTGGCAGTTAAATAGCCTGGTAGCAAAGGCGGATCAACTTGTTACGGACACATTTCTAAATTTATACTAATGTGCAAAGCAACTACTAAGTGATCATTGAGAGCCAAGAAATCCTTCTGAGCAGTATTGTCATTACGTAATTAATAAACGATGAGTTAGAAACTAAAATAAACAACACCCAAAGGTTTCAGAAACATTCCAGCCAAAATGAGAGGATGCAAATTGACTGATCAAATTGTTACGACGGATCTAATAACTGTGATCATCTAAGAAAGACGCTTATACCAATGGGAGAGCAGGGCTACACCCTAATCAATAGGGTGTACTCGGATAGATTCAGATCGATGATGTTCCCAGCTAAGTTTAAAGTATCTTTTCAAGAAAAGTTTTATTCAATTGCTACTTTAAATGAGTTCGAAAAGTTTCTGCGAGTATGATAGTCCAAACTCATCCATTCCTTAACGTTCTTCTTCGTCGTATTTTCCCCCTCTGATTTTTTCCCATCCTTTACCTTGTAAATTACCAAATCAATCTGTGGGCTCAAACAAAGCCTAGTTTAGGTCATTTGAAAATAAGTCAGCAAAATCAGCAGGCCATGAAATATTCTTATAACATTTACGCAGCATTGTTGAAGCAAATTTTTGGTCTAAGAAAAACAGCATCCAAGTTTATGTCATGTCAAATATCTAATGACGCAATGAACCAAAGATTCTGTGTCAGTTATTGCATTTTGAGATGGCATCTACCATCAACCAAACACACCAACAATCTGCAGCTTCCCCAACATACAGATGCACAACCACAAACATGCATATTTCCAAAGAAAGTAACAGAACTTGGAGAGACCAACATAAATATGAAAACTCAGCTCTCCAGAAGCCTTTCTGTAAACTACAAGGAAATACCTTTATGGTCGCCACCAGGCTCAACCTGAAACACAGAATAAGACATTTGTCAGTCTAGTCATAATGACTTCTTTCATTTATCACAAAACAAATTAACAGAGTGAACAAAAACATAATGTTTGGACAAAATCCATCCCCCAAAAAAAGGAAGTGTTCCTAATCAAAGTAGCGAAAGTGAAAAACGAGTGAAGCATAAATTGTTTCAAGCAAACTGAGAACATTCAAATTTTAATGCCAACTAGCTTCAATTATTCAATGTGGATACTGTTCCAACATTATAATCCTTTATCAGCTCTGTTCTAAATATTGCCAATGTGAACTTAGATAACCAGATCTTCAAACCACAACTTGAACGCCACAGCACAGAGCAAAATGCCATCAAAATGGACAAGATGAGAATCCAGAAGACTATGGGGACTTTTAAAAGAAAAGATTATAGTTGAGCTTGTCCACATAGATCAGCTTGAAAAAGACATTAATAAATCTTACTTCCATAAAGAACATTAATTTATAAAAATCAGCTACAATCATATCAACCATAGACAACCTCAGAGGCTGATATCTCATGTTTGCATTAACCTAACCAAAGGTTATCTATTTAGGGTTCCTCCACAAAACCGAATAGGCATATCCATACAAAATGCTGTCCATTCTCACACCTCCACCTCCTCCATACACAATTTCCTTCAATAAATCAACCCATTCTACAACACAGTATCAATCAACATATCCAACCGACAAAAGAAACCCAACAAAATACTTCCAAGTCAACAAAAACCTTCAACAGGGTTTACCAAACCCCCCCCCCAGATTCATCATTAAGAAATCAAAATTTCGAACATAAAACAAAACCCAGAAAAAATTCATCTTGAAATTAGAGCAGACCTATCCGCCATGTTAGCAATGGCCTTGAAGGCCAAAACTAAAGCTCGATCAGGATCCCCACTACGACTCTGCAAGCGGGAGAAATCCCCATTGGAACCATTAGGAGCTTTGGAAATCACGGTGGAAAGACCGGCGTCACCAAGAAGCGGGTTGACTGGACCTCCAACACGAACCGGGTCGTGGTCACCCGAATCATCCGCGAAGGTTCTCCACTCGGAAGTCTCATCAATTGACCTCGACTCCAACACCAACCCACACTCGGAACACACCGTATCCCCGGCCGCGTGATCGAAAACCACCTCCGTGTTCCTCTTGCAATCTGAACAATATGTATCCCCCATCATATTTTTTTGCCCCCTTTTTCTTCTAATATAGATATAGACTCTTTGTTGGAGAAAAAGAAAAAAACAAGAAGACGATTCCTTGAGATGTTTTTCTTGGGTTTAACTGGGTTTTTTTGGGTTTTTTTCCGATCAGATTATCTGCCTCTCCAAACGGTACAGAGGAGGAATTTGAGTTCTTACTCTGGGGGTTTGGAGAGGAACGGTGGAAGAAATGGAGAAAAATCGTCGGTCAAAGGGATATTTATAGACAAAATGGCCCCAGTTTCGGTCGGCAGTGTGGCTGCCGGTGTGGACAGCTCGTTTATATTGATCACTTAGATAAGAAAATTACTAATACTGTAATAATATGAAAATGGCGTTAATAAAATCATAGTTAACCAAAAAATAATTATAATACTTAATAATAATAATAATTATAATAACAAAATCACGTTGCAGTTTTACAACATACAACAACTTACTAAACACAATAAAAGACACTCACCCCATCTCACATTAATAATCTACTTTTAAAATATTTTTGTCTAAATACTAACTTGTTTATAATTTGTTTATGATTAGGATTATTATTAGTTAAGAAAAAATTATTTTTTATGGTTAATCAGGATTATGAATTGAAGAAACAATTATATAAAATATAACTATCCAAGCTTACAATACATGAAAATCTTTACCATGTGGAAATTATTAATTTATTATTAATATTATGGGCACAAGGAAATGTCTAGAGTTTTCAATGGACACGTGTCACACAATTTGATAGTTCAGAGACTTTTTTGTTACATATCAAACTCGCGTTTACGTGTTGATAAAAAATACTCTCTTTTATTAAACAATGAAAACTTTTTGATAAATCGGTTATTTTCACTCATTTACCATCTATTTGTTTCACCCGTATTTCCATTTTGAACAATTGCTTAATGCAAATAGTAATTCTGAAAAACTAATCAACACCTTATGATTGCATCGATTACTATAAATCAGTAATCACGCTGGCTTTCAATAAACTAAATAAGGAAAATATATGCAGATTAACAATGCAATTTATTATTAAATAAATAAAAAAATGTAAAAGGAATATTATTATAAACTAAGTTCGAATACATACCATATCAAATCATCGATCATGGACAAATTCATCTCATTTCTTCAAAAGCAATCTAGCTTGATTGAATAATCATCTGATTATAATTATAAAAAAAAAATTGATTATGATTGATACGGGAAAATCATCGACTGGACCATACTAATTAATATTCTTTCGATTTATGCCCCAACTTAAATTTCCTAATAGTCACCATGCATTTTAATTTGTTTTGGTATGAATATTGTACATGTGTATTGTTTTTGTCGCTCGAGTGAATTTGTAACTATTACTTTTTTTTATTTGGTGGCTAAAAATTGTGAATTGATAGACAGGTTGCACCGCTGGAGTTAAGTCAATTAGACTTTTATTGACCAAATCTACTCAAAGTCATGCACTCCAAATTTCTTTTGTTGAACTTCATAGTGGATATAAATATATAATGCATTTGGAGGATGGATATAATACATTGAGAGGATTAATCTCTAAATGCTCCATTGTTTTCACTTTTTTTCTTTGTTAAAAAAATCTATTTAGATGTATAGAACTTCTTCCATGAAAAAAATAAAATAAAATTTATGTTGTATAGATTTAATTCAAAGTGAATTATATTATTATTTTTATTGATCTTTGCGAAGGAATAAATATGTATATTTTCTTTTCTTAATTTTTTTTTTTTTTTTTCAATGTCTGACTAAGCTCTATAGTGTGTGTTTTTTTTTTTTTGGAAGGGAGCTTCATAGTATGTTGTTTGTGAAGGGGGGATCTTAACAATGGGATTTATTTTCTGAGAAGAGCTAAGGGAATGACTGATTATTTATTATTTATTTATTAGTAGATTGAAAGCGGCGCTTAACAAAGTCTATTAACAGTAAAAATAATGAAGTATATATTGCTAGATTCTTTAATAGAATAAGTTGTTTTGGTTTGATGAACCATAAGTTAACGTCGAAAAAAGGGGCACTGATCATGTTTCTTCGAAAACAATATTAGCCAGGCAAGCTCTGCAATGGTGTCAGGTATCAGACTTCAGGTTGGCGAATTGAGAGATTGTGTCATTCAGGCAACTGTTTTATATAGATTAAATATCGAATAAAGTATATTTATTACATTCAAGAATAAACAATTCTTGATTGTTGCGTGAAGTGCTATGACTATTAATAACAGTCAGGGTCATTCACTCTGGCAAGTGGGTCTATTTCTGTCGCTTCCGATTTTCGCCCATAGACAAGTATACTTTGCACTTTTTAAGGTGAAATCCACACAAAGTACTCACATACGAAAGGAATGACAATTTAGCAAATTAGACAAAAATTATTGTCTACAAATAAACAAATCAGAGGATATAAATGTTCATTATTTTTTTTTGTTTTAATTAATTTCAACATTGTGTATCCAACATTATATACACTATTTTCTATTTTTAAAATTTCACAATTACAAAACATTACTAATTTTCGATATATAAACAAGAACAATCTATCAATCCTTGCAACGCACGGTATAAACTTACTAATGTTGAATTGATCTCATCTTATACTGTACAACTATTAAACTGTAGGGAAGTGTCCGTGAGACTATGACTGGTAAAATTATAATTAATTAATTAGATTGAAGAACTCGTGCCATTTACGGAGTTTATTAAAATTGTTATGTGCATATGACAATGACAAACACGTATTTGATTGAAATAGAAATAGTCACAAGAAATAAATAATTATTCCTTCACTCTAGAAATTATTGCTCAGGTTGAATTTTTATTTTTAGTTTAAATTATATTAAAAGTGAAATTTCAAACTAGACAATAATTTTAGGACAAAGTGACTACTAAATTAAAATTTTTTTTTCTAAGTAAAAACCGTAAATGTATATTCCCAACAACAAATCAACATCAATACATAACTATATATCTCTTTTTCTAGTAATCTATACTGTACTATTGTTACCTCAAATGATTGCTCTTCCATTGTTGTCAAGGTTCATTTCTTCCAACAAAAGATAGATGGCTTTTGAAATGGGCTGTATAAAAAGCTCAGGCATTTGAAACAGTATCATATTACAATGCCATGTCTTTTACCGAAAAGGAAAATTTATTAGTAATAAGTAGTATTGTAGATAGCTGAAAATGAATCAAAATTCTTATTAAATTTTTCGGGGCTGAAGTGAATACATGAACTCCTTAAATTTTGTGACCATGCTATTTTTATTAAGTTTGCATTGAGAGATCAACACTCAACAGAAACATTGGCCTAAATTTCTACAAGTCCACTAGATTCGTGGAACTGAAAGTGCCTAAATACGGAGTATTTCCTTATTCTGGCCCAAATTTGCAAGATGAACAAGAATCCAAGATGGATGAGAAACCAGTACAGTTTAATGGGCTTAATGGGCTCTTTATTATTGATCCTTTTACAAACTAGTACAGTTTACATAAATACTATCTTCCGTTTTCTAGCCAGCCAGCACGTATTGGTGTAAACACATTCATAATATGGGTGGGTATTGGTCGAGTAGGAAGGAAAATTGTCTACCATTTTTAGTGCCAATATTGATTCATGAGCACAAGTTCTTCATGTCACTGTTGGTATCTTGGCACAAATTTCGCTTTCGTTTTGTTGAGTCTGAGGTGGACTTCAAGTGGAATCTGCCCCATTTCATATGCAATCTAGCCATAAAATTTCACAACACCCATCAGTCTTCACAGATGATCAACAATGTTGCTGACCAGAAATGTTGAAAAACTGATGAAACCCTAATGCGAAACTGTATATCTTTGTGCTCTTCTTGTAGAAGAACATCCATTATCTAGCAGGTTTGTGAGTTTTTTTCCAAAAAAAAGTTGCTGTATATCATGTCTTTCAATGATGCTATCCATCTGCCTGCATTCTTGAATCCATCTGTCTCCTTGTTATACTTGGAATGTATGAAGTTATGATGCTCAAAACATGTTAATTTGCAATAGATTCTCCTGTCTTTTAAAAGAATGTCTTTATCTTTTTTTTTTTTTTACACATACAATTACAAGCACCTAGTCTATTACATGTTGTTATTGGGGTCTATAGAGAAGGGGATAGTACTACTAAGGGAGAGACTTCACACGCGAACGCCTCGATTACATGTTGTTACAAGCACCTAGTCTATTACACGTTGTTATTGGGGTCTATGGGGAAGGGGATAGTACTACTAAGGGGGAGACTTCACACGCGCATATCTCGATCTGGTACTCGAAAAGCCTCCTGGCGGGCTTGCTAATATTATTTCCTTTTTTCTTTCTTCTCAGAATGTTGAGAAAAACGGTTGTTTGCGAACTCTCTGCTTGACTTTTCCAATGAACGTTCTGTTCTCTCTGAAAGCTGGATCCCTGTTTACAATTTTCCGACTGTCTACAAGTATCATCTCACAAGATCGATATACATTTTTGTTGAGTCTTATGATGAATCCTTCTCGTAATGGCCGTGGTCGTTACAGCCCGCGAATGCATCCTGCTTTTTCTTTTTTTTTTTTTTTTTCCAGTTCGAAAAATCAGAAGTTTTTGCAACCTTATTGATTGGTGAACAGTGAAATGGTTGACACAAGGATCTGATTGATTCAAGCACAATTTTCGTGAATGGCATCAGAAATCGAAACAATTGAATGAACCCCGATGTGTGTGCATCAATCATCATTACATAATAATTATGTGCAAGTTTACTAGACAAAATCATGCATATCCTTAAAAATTTCTCCTGAAACTCCAGGGCCTCATCAAGAACTGAGCAATGCCTATTTATTTCAACTCCATGACCAACAATAAAAGGAAAGCAAGAAAATCTAACTGCATACTGTTAAGAGGGGGAAAAAAAAACAGAAACAGCAACTTCACCAGGAAACTGGAGACGATGCTCTTTCACCAGCTAGAGACAATGAATGGTCATAACGAGCACTGTGGTGTGTCTTTAAATCATCCCACACAGAAGGATGAGCAAACATCAAAATTCCCTAGCAACTTGCTCCAAAAAGTAGACCAGCCAGATTCATAAAGTCGCCAGCTTTTTTACCGCTACAATGATTCAGTAAGAACCAAGAGAAGAACCAGGGAAATTGGTCATTCACTCCATTATATTCATTAGAGGGAGCAACTTTTAGCATTCATAAATATCAATCACCAGAAGCTCTCAAGCTCTCAAGCAAATTTTAGCTTTTCTCAAGCTTCAGGTGGAAGTCCTGATGCAAGTTCTTCAATAGCCATTGAAGTAAGTTAACTTTCTATCCACCAAATAACATAATCTAATTCCCACTTGATTGGCACTTACTAGGTACTTCATTATTACGGCCATTCAGTTACTAATATTGCTCATTTCGCCAGGTGCTGTCATCTGACATATGAGGAGGTGTTGCAGCTTCTTCAGACATTCTTGAGTGAGATGTCTGCCATGAAGTTTGAGAAAAACCATTTGATTGTCCACCAGAGTTTGAGGAGATTGATGAATATGGGGGAGCTTGAGGAGAAACTGAAGGCTGCCATGACGGGTTAGAAGGCTGCCATGAAGGTTGAGATGCACCAGAACTAGGAATCGTAGATGATGCTCCTGATTGTCGAGGCATTGATGGAGGAGATGTCTGCCACTGCTTTTGAGAAAACCCAGCTGATTGTCCCCAGGAGTAAGAGGAACTGGATGAATTTTGGTGCACTTGAGGGGAAACTGAAGCATGCCATGGCTCTTGAGATGCACTGGAATTCGGACCACCATACGATGACTGCAGTGGCATTTGTGATACTGGTGATGCTTGGCCCTGATATTGAGAGGAAGCTGAGTTCTGCCATGAGACTTGAGAACTCACTCTAGGATCTAGATCAGCAGTGGATGATACTTGCCAAGGAATGTGAGATGCTCCTCCTGATCCTTGACCTGGCGATGGAGCGGACATTGGTCTCTGCCATTGAGAAGCTCCAGGAACTTGGGCATTAGAAAATGATGACTGAGATGGTAAATGAGAAGTTCCTATTGAGGCTGCCTCCGGCACTGAAGAGGAAACTTGAGACTGCCACAAAGTCTGGGTAGGACCACCAGACCTTGAGAATTGAGGTGAAGAAGGTGCCTGCCAAGGCATTCTCTGGCCGGTTGGTTGGCCTGCAGCAGCTGCATCTTTCTTCAATGGCCCAGGAGGGAAAAGTGATAGATGACCGTCGTTTGGAGGACTTTTTAATGCGACAAACCATTCTGGAGGCTGCATCTGTGGGGGTAGAAATTTGGAATCCACAATATTCTGAATGGTCTCAAGTTTCCCTTGCTTCTCAAACACATCCAGCAGATATTGCTTGAGTCCAGGGGTCAGACCAACACCATAATGCATCATCTGAGCCACGGCATAACTGCAGCCATCCAGCTTACCCATTTCACATAGGCCCCTGATCACAACCTCAAAGGTACTAACATCCGGTTTAGGTTCTCTATCACACATCTTCATCAGAATGGGTAGACAATCAGTCACTTTCCCTTCCTCAATCAGGAAACTAAACCACTTATTCGCATAACAAGGAATGACTCTCAGGCCAGCCACCACCATATCTCTATACTTCTCCAATGCTTCCTCTACCTTCTCTGCCCTAACATAAGCATCAATGAAAGTCCTATAACTGGTAACATCGGGAGACAGAGATTTGCTTTGCAACTGAGCAAGATATCCTTCTGCCTCCTCAAACATATCCACTTCACATAATCTAGCAATAATATTGTTAAACCCTGCAACGTCCATAGCAAAAGGCCGTGACTTTGCCCCCTTCCCAACCCTTTTAAACACATCGATAGCCTCTGATACCTTTCCCAACCTAAAACACTCATTCACCATTATATTAAAAGTGTCAGAATTCACTGCCTGAAATGTGGGAGGAGTATGATTATCCAACATATCATTGAACAAAGACCATGCATCCTTTTCCATCCCATGTCTCACCAAGACTTCCAAAAGCACATTACAAGTGGCTGGCACCATCCTGAATTGCTTACTCAGGAGATACCTATAAGCCTCCATAGCCTCTTTCTTCTTCCCTTGCTTAAAATACCAGTCCATAAACGCGGCGCTGACTACCCCATCAAAGACAGTGCATCTCTCCTGCAACTCCTCAAACAATTCAGTTGCCCTTTCCAAATTTCCCAATTCTAAAAACCCAGAAATTAAATTATTGTATACTAAAGAGTCCGCACCTTGGCCTTTATTCAACATCTCCCGGAGCATATCCACGGCATCATTAATCCGGCCAGCTTCAATCAGACCTTTGGTTAGATTCCGATAGGTAAAACATGAGGGACTAAAAGGAGCCACTTCCAGGATTTGATGGTAAGTACCAATTGCCGAGTCCACGTCGCCGTTCCCAAAGTGGGCAAGGATGAGATAGTTGTAAGAGACTATATTGGGGATAATAGATGACTGGTTAAAGAAGTACTGAAAGAGGCTAATGGAATCAGTGTGCCGACCACCACGATACATGGCAGCAATAATAGCATTGCAGGTAAACACAGTCGGACGCACTTTAGAGAAAACAGCCTGACGAGCTACGGCGGAGGCGGAATCGAGATCTCCAGCGCGAATTAGGGATTGGACGCGATTGTGAAGGTTAAGACGAGGACCGGTAAGGGCAGAGGTGCCATCCGGAAGTGGAGGACCCTGCGGTCTAGGATTGCCACCTGGCTGGAAACTGGATGCAGGGTCTCGTCGGAGTGCCCACATAGGCGGTTCGATTCGCAGCCGTCGCTTTCTGCGGCGGCGCTCGGCCGCAGCTTCCTCGGCAGATGAGAACGCATATGCTCTTACTGGAATGGTATAATTAGGATTCTGAGGCAAGCTGTTGGATACAGTCTGGGCACCGGCTTTGCCACCAGTGATTCTGGTTCGCCGGAGGTGACGGAGAAGAGTCCGATACATCGTGATCGGTGGCCGAGGAATTGCAGATTTTACTCTGTGAAATGTGTAAGGGTAAGTACATCCATATAGTAATTAAAATCATATCCACAGTTTGCTAAAAACAACTGAATGGAAGAGTGTTTGGGAAAGAACAACCAAAACCTCAAAAGCAGCCACTCAACACTGGAAAACTGAAAATTCAGCAAAACTCAAAATATTCAAAGAACGTTTGTGGTCAAAAAGATCCAATTTGCGAGCAGTTAAAACTATTGTAAACTAGGATAAAAAAAGAAAACCTTACCAAAAGAATTCAGGAAAATAGTTCAAAATCCCAGAGAAAATTGCTCCCTAAAACAGAACTTTCAGAACTGATTTGTTCAGAAATCCCAAATTCTATCATTCATGTTCAAAACCAATTTCCGGGCAAACTATAATTTCGTTTAGCGATCCATAAAAACTCGAATGAACTCCATTGAATTCAAAAGTGAAACCATCAAAAGAAATCACAGAAAAGGTTTCAGGAAATAAGAGAAACGAGTCTCTCAACAGAAGGACGTAAATCTGGATTTCTGTATTGTCAGACCACAATAAGTAAATTTGCTCTGTTTCAAACATATTTTTAAGAAGTCCAAGATACCAATTTAGAAATCATAAAGGCAGCTAAAAATTTTAACATGCCGGGAGGAAATTTATGAAAAGGAATCTCAGAAAATAGTTGAAGAATCAGGAGAAACGAATACCCAAAAACAGTAGCTGAAGACAGGTTTTTAGGTCGTGCCCAAGTTGAGCTTTTGGCCAAACTACAAATCCATTTTGCATAACGTAAACACTGAAATAAAGCCATGAAGGGATTCATGAAAATAGATCACAGAGGAAAGCTCAAGATATACAAGAAGCGATCTCTGAAGGCAGCAGCTCATGACAAATTTCGAGGGGATCGATCTGTCATGCTCAGAAATTGAGTTTTCTGAATGTCCAAAAATCCATTTAGTGATCTGTAAAAGCTGGGAAAAAAAAAAAAAAAAAAACAGACTAAACAGGGATCATGAATCTGCAAACTACCAAATATCACAATTGCAAACCCGCATTTGGCATCCAATTTGAAGATGAATCATCATTCATTAAATATTTCCACCTCAAGAAGTGTAAGACCAGGCACAAGGAAAAAAACATCTTGATAGATAAGAACTAGATGCCCATCAACTCATACTTTAGCATCAACATAATAGTTAGTTCGTATTTCATATCAAGAGATAAAAATCGTAACAGTAAGCAAGTTTATGGCGAGCAACCTCACACAATGGAAAATCAGACATATGTCAGTGCACCTATTTTCATGTACCCATACCGATTGAAGCACCTATGACGGAATTATATTGTTATGAGATTAAGCTAACAAAGCAATTGCACCAGTTTGTTGGCTTGGACTAAAAATTCTGTGGGAAAACAAACAATACAGGGGAAAAATTAAATAAGACAAAGACTTACCAAGGCCGAGAATTTGCGAAAGGGAGAGCAAGGAAGAACAATAAAACAACAGCGACAACTCTTTGATTTAGGGGGTTTAGAGTTTAGGGTTTAGGCTCCACCGGTCGACGGCAAGGCAGGGTCCCTAAGTTCCATTGTGTAGACCTATGTTGTTAAAACCGGATCGGACCGACCGGTCGGACCGGTTCGACCGGTAACCGAACATGCTACTGGTCCGAGTAATTTTAAACCCGCATAATTGAATATACATATAGTTGTTTTTCTTTCTTTAGGTGAAGAAGATAAATATAGATCACAAAAAGTGAACCCTTTCTGAAACTCACAGCTACACAAAAGTGATGTGGTTACTTCGGGGAACTCATATGACTTACTGATTAATGACGTAGTCATTTTTCTACATTTTTTTTTACGTCACTGGAACAAACTGGTGAGGATCTTTTATTCAAATTTCCTAAGTCAATTCCTGTTATACTGTGTAACAAGTCAACACATGTTCAACTTATTTCTTCTATTCTAGTCAGTCTGTTTCCTCCGTCAACTCTAACTTTAATGTTAACTTTTGAGTAGATTAAACGAACCCGATCTACATAAAGAACAAAGAACTGAAGAAGAGAACAAATTAAAAACTAGGTCTCCATCTCCGTTCTCACTATTAGATCTATATTTGTTGGACAAGAAAGTAAGAATCGGATGTCTTTTATTGTAACTATGCCTTGATATCTTTCCTATGGAATTTTGACCCGAGTGCATCATAATTTTGTTAACAATTGCATACATGAATGGACGATGATGATGTTGATGAAGAGGATGATGTAGACGGCGCCGTCGGAGGTGACGGAGGATGGTAAATGATGAGTAGGAGAAAATTGAGGAAATCATTAATCAAAAAAATAAAAGGTTAAATTTAATACAAATGAATACTATCCAGTATCCCTCCATTTTTTTTCATACTGAATTTGTACAAAAAGCTTATGGTTGTATTTGTTTGGTTGGAGAGAGGTATTAACATCCTACTACCACTATTTTTGATTTTCTTTTTCACAAGAATTTGTTTTCTATCTTAATATCGCTTTCTGCAAAAACTGATTTTTATGAGAATTTTGAGCATTTTGTGTTTTATTTTCTTGATTAAATCACTAATCTTTTTGAAAAAGTGATTTCAATTTATGATGTTAACTTCTCATTATTTTGTTTCCGAATTAATTTAGTATCCTCATTTTTTAAGTGGGATTTTCAATCTAATGATGAATGTGTTTGATATGTTAAAATAATTGACTTTCTGGGAGTTTGATCACTGTTAGATTCTAAAGATTCTGAAGGTGCTTGTTGAATCTTAAGTCACTAATTTTGTAACTCAAAAAAAATAAATAAATAAATACATCACAAATTATAAATATGGAGAGAATAGAAAAGATTTACCAGGAAAAAAAAGGAGAAAAGATGGAGAGAAAAGACATGAAGAATCACTCAAAGTTAACGAGTTACTAGAAAAAATAAGAAAGTGTTTGTTTTGAGGGTTTGGGTGGGTTTGAAACCGAAGCTATGGGTTTCATAGGGAACTTTGCTGCTTGGTTCATTTTATGGGCCTACAAAAATAGAATTCGTTCCAAAAATAGAATTCCTAACCATTATGAAGGATATGTATCCATCTTTTATGTGCTTTTTGTTTTTACCCCTCTACCCTCCTCATAATCATTTTCTTCCAACCTCTTCTCGTCAACTCTCCCTCTTGCTCTTTTCCAATGCCTCCATTTTTACATTTCTGATTAATCACCAAAATAATCTCTACCATTAGAACAAACAAATAAAAGAAAATATTCTGTACAACCTAGCTCAAGGAAGTTATCATACACACTTCTTGTCAACCCACCATGATTGCATTCATAATCTTCTCCTCGTGCCATCGCCGCCGCTGTCTGCCGCGCCCGTCGTCGCCGCTCGCTTAATCATTGTCCTAAAACATCCCTTTATTTTTAAGAAATTTCGAGTCTCCTTCATGCTCTTCGTCTTCCTTCAATCTTGTTCAAAATGGTCAATAAATAGTGTTTATTATTGCGGGGCTTCAGATTTGGAGTATCCTTTTGTCCTTTTTTCTCCTTTTTCTATTTTTAATTTTTTTTGTTAAGGATAAAAATGATATTTTACATCACTTTTCAATCCCAGTTCTTCCTTAACCTGGCACTATAAATGGTTATGATAATTTTTTAACAATGTCATAGAAATTGGAATACTTTCAAACTCAATTTCAATCATATTCCACCAATTGAACCAGGCACACCCCTTAGTCCCCCATTTTTTTGCGACACGTGTCAATTTCTTATCCAGTGCAATTGGAATTGGCACAGTAAATTGTAACAGGTGATCTTCACCCGAGACCAACCCAAGCCTAGGTAATTGTAGGAAGCAGTACGTCAATTGTAAGTTTTAGCTAGTGCCATTTTCGTCAGTTTCGTGTAAGGCTTTGTTTTTAGGTTTCAAATCACAGCTTACATGAATTCCAAGTTTCCACTCAACCTTAAGAACATCCCATCATTTTAAATTAGACTGAATATCAAAATTAAAATGATAAAAAAAAACACAAAAGAAAAAGAAATTGTTATGTAACATGACACCCCAACTGGCGTTGAAAATCAAAACTTGTTGGAGTTGGGTTTCGCACAAAGCAATGCTTTTGAAAAGTTAATCAAACAAGTTGATGGCATTAAAGTTTCCCTCAAATTTTAATTTTCAATAGAGATTATGACACATTTTACGAACTGATCAATTAGTGAGACTGTGAGAGTAGCTTATGCAAATTTCTGGTCAACTAGGCTTTCAGCTAGTCTCTGATTGGTCGGCTTCATTTGATCAAACACTAACTTTAGTTCTTGAAAATAAAGTACTTTTTTTTTTTGTTATGCATTTCCTTTTTCTTAACTTTTTATGTATAAGGAATTAAAATAGTTCATGGATTAACTGTGTTGGACCAATTAACTTGAAAAGCATTTTGTTTTGTTGACAACGAAATTAAAATTTAACATCTTTTTTCCAAACTAGATTATTCGATGTCCAGGAAAAGAGAAAAGTTTTGCATGAGGGTTCTTTTTTCCCTAATATATTAAAGCTTGCATCATATCTAGATGGCTTAAAGTCTTTTTGCCGACTTGACCATGTTTGATTAACAAAAGGGTTCTGAAGTACGCCAACAATAGTAAACAGATACTTTTCACTCCAATAACATTACGTTTTTTCTTCACTTTTACAGTAAATGTCATGGCTCAATCATGGTCTAAGGCCTCAGATGATCACCTAATTATCGATAATTTAATTAATTATCATATTATACTTTGTCACGTTACTGGTTAAAAATATATTGCGAAATGTTCTTGAAAAACACGTTTCACTTCTATTGTCAAACTGAATTAACTTAACGGAATCTACGTAAGATACTTTTATTTGTTTTCTTAATTAGATTATTATTGGTAATTTTGTAAATTTGTATTGCTGATATCAACTTTTCGTATTTACAACCTACTTTCAGACTATTACAAGAAGTAACTTATTAGCATATAATATAATACCAAGACTACTTTTAAAAAAAATTAAATATGGTTTTCCTTCCTGCCCTTCTTGCAGCAATACTCCTTATGATCTTTGGTTCTTACTATTATTACATCTTTTTCGAATACTCTTAATGATCTTAATTATAAAATATAAGTCAAGACTGAAATTAGTTTAAATTAATTGGATTCTAAAGGATAATAGAAAAAGTGCACTGAAAATTGTGTTACGGATTAGAAAGGTGCATGCATTTCCAAATTAGGCCAAAAAAATAAAAAATCGTATTGCGTAAGGATAACTTTCCTTTTTAACATCTCAAAAAAAAAACAGTAACATGATACGGCAAAAACGCTTTGCAAAAAGTTGTTGGATTACGCACAAAGCAATGGCGTTGAGGGAAAAAGAAAAGGTTAATGAAACAACGTTGATGATATAACGTTTTCCTTAATTTTTCAGAAGTGACGACAATACACTTTATTGATGTATTACGTAGTATGTAACTTACCACACTCAATAACTAATGTGTATAGCTATATATATATATATATATATTAATTTCTAACACATGTTACAATTTATATTGGGGGCTAATTCATCGTGTACACTACTATAAGCATATGACCTAAGCCACTAAACTATAAAAAAAAAAAAAATAATAATAAAATTAAGAAACCTCTATGATGTGAGATGGAGAAAATATGACTTTCGAAAAATTCCTTAGATGAATTTAATTCTAACTATGATATCACTTGCGAATATATGACTTATAAATATCATAATCAAGTACTGTATAAATCATGTTTCTTATGACTTTGAAGGAATTTGATTGAGGGATATATGTCATTTTCATTTCATCATGTTACTTTATAAATCATCTAATTACAATATGAAATCACTGAGAATATATAGTTTGTTGGTTCCTCCGGTTTTTAGTATAATTGGAAAAAACCACCAAGTGTTCTTTTCTCATTGTGTGTGACTTTCACCAAATAGTCTCACACTTTGTGCATTTTTCTATCGGGGGAATCATATGACTTTAAATAATAAAATTTTGGTTTTCTTAAATACAATTTTTAGTATGGGACAAAAAACAATTTTGAAACAAGATTCTTACTTGTGTGATTGAGATTGCTTTTGGCTCATTGTCTTCTTTGATGTTATTTTTATTTTTATTTTTTTTTTTTGTTTGAAGATGTCTTTCATAATTATTATTGTTATTTTTTTTTGAAATAAACCTTCCCTATGAATGATAGAAGAACTAGTTTGTATGATATCTTAGGTAGTAGCTTCCCTGACGTGTAGATTATTAGAGGTACTGTACAGAAGATAAATAAATGAATTTCAAACTATAGTTTTTGTGTCGCCATTGAGAAAATTGTCTCCGGCAACACTCACATTAACATTTGATTCGCGGTAAGCGGCAGCAGTAACATAATGAGAATAATTAGTGGTTGTAGTTTTGATAAAGAAAGAGTTAGTTAAGTATGTTTCAATTCCTAAAGCCGTAACACACTACTAACACATAATTCTTAATGACTCACCAAAATTTTCACTTTCATTAGTTAAAATATATTCAATTCCTAATACTATGACATATCCTTTTTTCGTATCAAAATAATTATTTATTTTAGATTTTTATTTTCAGTTGATAACTCAAACTTAACAATCATTTTGAAATGGTAAGAGTACTTTGAAACTTAAGAGATTGGATTGTGTATGAGATATGGAGAACTAACAAAACATCTTTGTAGTTGTAAATACTCCCTATGTTAGTATTAAAAATAGTTTATATTGTAAATTAGAAATTATACTTTTTTTTGTATAATTTAATATGAACTATTTTGATTGAACAGAGGCGTATAACTCATGTTTGGCTGTACGAGGGGGAGTATTATTTTTAGAGTAGTGATAAGGGAAAAAATAACAAGGAAAATTTACAAGGAATAGTGTGTCAAACATCTAAACTATAGCCTACCCTTAAATGTTTAAACCCCGTATGGAAAGTTTTTAAAATTGATGGATGAGATCATTTCCTTATCATTTTTCCTTCTAATTTTTCCTTTACCAATCATTATCCTTATTTTTATGGTCACTAAATTAGTTACAATGATTTGAATAATGGATTTTGACTGCATCACAAATCACATGAATCAGATTTTAAATTTTCTACCATTTTTAAAATTCATTAAAGGTTTCCAGTCTTTTGGATGTAAAATTAAATAAATAATCTTAAATCTCTTTCCAATTTGAAATCCATTAATTGTTTTCTGTCTCTTAATTATCAATGAAATCAAATCTTAAAAATTATTTTCCATTCCTAAAATCACCTCATAAGTTGAGGAGAAAAAAATGGTAACTTCATAATGTCAAAAATAGTACTCCTCCGTCCCATAATTATTGTCCAGTTTGAATTTTTATTTCTAGTTCAAATTGTACTAAAAGTAAAATCTCAAACTGGACAATGATTTTGGGACAGAAGGAGTATAAAATTAGAATCTAGGTGTGTAATTATGGACACGTAGGACATAAATAACCATTTTGACTTTTATTTAAAAACCTTGCATAGCTAGCTGTAGAAGAAAGCGTTCAAAGGGAGGGCTGCCCAAAACAACCTGAAACATTCAAAGAAAGCGCGCCAGGTATTACCCATGTATTTTGAGTCTTTCATGATGTCATCCCCCTTCTAATAATTTCAAAAAAAAATAATAATAATCTACTATATATTTTAACACGCAATTGACTGAAAATGACTCAATAAATATCATCATCATCATCATCAACATTTGGTTAATGACCGGGCATGAGAGTTATTAGCTTGTTGAAATGGCTTACGGTAGGAAATTAACGTGTTGGAGTTTAGTGATTGAAAAATTATATATAATTCCTTTGGAGGCATTATTCTTGAAAGCGATGAATTCAAAGTTCAAACCAAGTCATTTTCATTCAAATTTTCGATTTTTAGTTTTGTGACTATAAAAGAAACTAGATGCTTGGCCCAGGCAGATGCCCGGACGCCCCTTCTACTTTAATTTTGTGTTAATAGATAAATGAATTTTTGATTTGGAAAAAATAAAATAACTACACATTTATTTTTTCTCTTTTTTAGCCAAAAATAATTAAAAAAAAAATCATCTGCAAAAGGAGAAAAAATATTGAAAAATACACCGATGCAGAAATCATACAAAAGAATGTGGAGTAATAAAAGAGATAAGTTTATGGACAAATTTAAATGGTATCTTAATTTGATTGATAAATGATAAGTGTTAGGAGTTAAAATTGTGTAGCTATTTTTGTAAATTAGCTTTTGTTTTTCCGGATAAGAAGTTTTTTTTTCTTTTAAAAAAGGATGACACGTGGCAGAATGTTAAAGCAATATGGTGCGTTTAGAGCCAAAATTTTTTAATAAGAAATTGCCACATCAACATCATGTACTCTGTTTTAATAGAGTATATAATAATATATATAAAAGGGATATATGGTAACAGATGTTACTAGCACTGATTGAGATCGAGTAGAGAAAAATTTAAGTGTAAGTAAGATTGAAATTAAGATTACAATTATATATACGTAATTAGTGAAAATATTCCGAGTAATCGTCTTGTAAAGAAAATGAAAAATCATATAATTTCACCGAGTTGACTGGCAATGCCAAATTCAATTCACAGCCATATCCAGTAGACTAATCCAAATTCCTTTATATCCACTCTTCTTCTCTCCCTCCTTTTCATCTATTTTCAAGATTATATATATTTTGCCAAACCATTTACTACTTTTCCATCGGCCAAACCAACATTCATTCCATTCCCCATATTATACCTTCTCTCAGTTCTTCTTCTTCTCCTCTCATTTTCCGCCAAACTTCCATTCTTTTTATACAATCAATCCCCCCCTTTTTGTATCTGTCTTCTTCTTTATTGGTGGTTTCTTTTACTTTCTTGAGGAATTCAAGAAACCAGAGTTTGGGGGGTGGGGGGAAATGGTGAAAAATTACCAGAGGTATCATCAGCTATGGAGGGAAGGTGGTGAATTACTGCATGTGATTGGTGAAGGCCATGAACACGATCGCGAAGAAGATTGCCCAAGTGATCCGTTCGGTTTTATACGTGGAGTTTCTGGTCAATACAAGAGATCAAAATCCAAGCTTTCTTACTTTCTTTTTCTTTCTTTGCTTTCTTGTTGCTTAATCTTGGCACCCCAGTTGCTTTCTTCTTCTTCTTCGTCCTCCACTTTTTCTCTTCTAAGTAAGCTTTTTTTATTCTCTGTTTTTCAATTGACTTCTATATCAAATTAATTTTTTCTTTGATTAATTTATTCTGTTTGATGGTAGTTTAATTCTTGATTAATGGAAATGAATGTTGCAGACTCATGGCGGCTTGAAGAAGTTGATGATCCAAGACTTGTTTCTGAAGCCGACGCATTGAATTCTCCCATCTGTTCTTCTGTTGCTAATGGTGGGTTTGACACTGATTCTTTCTTTTGTGTTTGATGTTTTTCAATCTTGATCATATTCAGAGTTAAAAGTTCTTTCTCAAATACTCTGTTTCATCCATGCTCTGGTTTTATTCATAACACTGTTCTGTTTCCCTTTTCTAATTCTCCTTGTTTTGCATAATTTAAGATCAGAATTCTTACAGAAAAAACCTGATTGTTTTTTTTTTTAATTGATTTTTGACATGGTTTTTGGCCAAATCAATGCAGGAACGCTCTGCTGTGACAGAAGTAGCATTCGTTCTGATGTGTGTAAATTGAAAGGCGATATTCGAACTGATTCGGGTTCATCATCAATCTTTCTGTACACAAATACTGAATTCAGTGATTATGTTCCTTCTATATCTGACGATGGCCATGGAAATGAGATATTGCAGCATGAAAAGATCAGACCATACACTAGAAAATGGGAGACCAACATGATGATGGAAAAGGTTTCCGAATTGGACCTCATTGTGAAGAAGGGAAATTCAACTAGTAATACTAAAAATCAACACCACAAATGTGATGTGAATCATGAAGTTCCTGCTGTTTTCTTCTCAACTGGAGGATACACGGGCAATGTTTATCATGATATAAATGATGGGATTTTGCCATTGTACATCACTTCTCAGCATTTCAACAGGAAAGTTGTGTTTGTGATTCTTGATTATCATGAATGGTGGTTGACAAAATATGGTGATGTCCTGTCACGGCTTTCGGATTATCCGGTTATCGATTTCGGCGCCGATAAAAGGACTCATTGCTTCCCTGAAGCTATAGTTGGACTGAAAATCCACGACGAACTCGCCATTGATCCTTCCCTGATCGAAGATAACAAGACAATGGTCGATTTTCGCAATGTTCTAGACCGGGCGTATTGGCCGCGAATCAGAGGCCTAATGCGGGCTGAAGAGAAAGAAGGGAAATTGATGTTGAAGAAATCAAAGCCAAGTCTGGCTATAATCTCAAGGAAAGGGTCAAGGGAAATAACAAATGAGAATGCATTGGTGAAAATGGCAGAGGAAATCGGATTCTCTGTGACAGTTCTGAGGCCTGAGAAGACAACAGAACTGGCAAAAATGTACAGAGTTCTGAACTCAAGTGATGTTATGATAGGAGTTCATGGTGCTGCAATGACGTATTTCCTGTTCATGAAACCCGATTCGATCTTCATTCAGATCATCCCTCTTGGATTAGATTGGCCATCAGAGAATTACTATGGAGAACCATCAAGAAGACTTGGATTGAAGTACACTGGATACAAAATCTTGCCAAAGGAGAGTTCTTTGTACACGAAATATGGTAAGAATGATCCTGTTCTGACGGATCCAGATTCAGCTACCGGTAAACGATGGGAATTGACGAAGCAAATTTATCTGGATCATCAAAATGTGAGGCTGAATCTTCCCAGATTTCGCAAGAGATTGGTTCGGGCTTATGACTATACTCTTCATCATGCTGAAAAGGCATTAGCAATTTAGCTTCATTTTTAGATGTCAAATTGTTGAACATTTTTTTTTGCACCATTCTTTCTGTCAATTTTGTGGATATTGCAATATAGGGTAACAAAAAATAAAAGAATGAATTCACACCAACCCTTTCGAGTTTTGGTTGGTTAATTTTCTCTACTTTTGGTGTTTAAGTTCATTCTAAAGGAAAAAAAATGTAGTCATAATTGTTATTAATAATTGCTGGAATTTGGAATTAGGCGGGAATTGAATAACAGCTTAACGGTTAGGTTTCTGTCTTTCTTGGTAATAAATCATGGTTCGATTCCCATAAGCGATTGTAAGGGGGTTTTACCCACATTTAAGTAAGGTCTATTAGGATGGATTTTTAATTAAAAAATAAATTGCTGGAATCAGTCCGCAAGTGATAAATTAGTAAGAAAAAGTAATGATCAAAATTCCAAGGTATCAATCACAGTGTAAGAGTTGGCATATTTCACTACTTTATGCACTAATACAATTTGACGCCACCAAACCAATAAACATTAACGATGAGTAAAAAAACTCCAAAACAGTTTTTGCAACGTACATTTTTAAATGATTGTACGCTAAATTGTTATAGTCAAACAAGGTAAAAAAAAAAAAAAAAAAATCATTCTCCATGTTATAGTATATACTCCGTATATCATATTTTATCGTTCGAGTAATTATTCGTCCTATATTTTGATTGGATTTTTTTTTTTTTTGGGGTATAAGTTGACACTTGACCCAATTTCTTATGGAGAGAAAAAAGTTGACACGCCAAAGCTTCTCTCAAGTTATGTTATGAGTATAATTGAAGGTTGACGTGATAGTATCCAAAAAAACGATGGCTGGCTGTGTTCAAAATGCCAAATTAGAACACGCTTTCATGCACATAACCAGTTGTTGTGGCCACTGGCTAGAGGTTGACATATCGAATCGATATATATGTAATAGTCCAATTATCCAGTTTGTTAAGCTTTGTTTTTATACTTAAATTTAACAGGTAATGACGCAAACTCAGATGGAACTATCACTATTAACGACTTTTTCAATATTAACAACCATAATACTTGTTAATTTACTGACTTCTAACACCCCCAAAAAAACGTGATGTCAGTAAGCCGCACTACTTTACATATTATTGACCAAGACGGTAACCTAAATATTTTATTAAACTTTATTACTCCCTCCAACTCTAAGAAGGATTTTTTTTTTTTTTTTTGGGTTCGCTTACTCTTTTTGGGATGAGGATATTTCATTTTTATGAGTATTCAGAAATTAACCTAATTCAAGATCTGTGTGGTTAATCCCACACACGTCGAAATTGAATGACTAGTATATTGTGAAAGCGCTATGTTCATAACCACTGGTAATAATTCATCTAACACAAACTTAACTAGTATATTGTGAAAGAGTTGAGTTGTCTTCATGGTCATTTGTCCCATTTGAAGTTCTTACTTGTATTACTCACTACGTCTTAAAATAATTATTCTTATTAAATTTTTTACTTTTAACTCTATTTATATGAAAAAGAGAAATTTATACGAAACAACAATCCATTTCTTACTATTCCAACCAAACCTGCAGCCCACTGATATCAACACTGATAAAAAAATAAAAAAAAGTGATAACTCATATTATCCCTTAAATTAGCACACAAGAAAAAGCTACGTAAATATGGAAAAATTTGCACTAAGTGCATATACAGGAAGACTGTAATAAACTACTATTAAAGAGGAAATGGGTTTTACTTCCTTCGTCCTGAAATTATTGTTCAGTTTGGATTTTTCATTTTAATACATGTTGAATAAAAAATGAACATTCAAACTGGACAATAATCTTTACATAAGTAAATGTCTCTTGGTGAGTTTAGAATCTTGAACGTGATTGGTCAAAAATTAAATTGAATAATTTGATTGTCCCATTAATTCACATGACATCATCAATTTTAAATTGAGCTCTTTGATTGGTTAATATATTAATATGGCATAGCAATTTAAAAAATAGATATAATTGTCAATTAATAAAGTTGATTTTTACTGAAATCCTAGGTTTTGGAACCAAAATTTACACCGGCAGAGAGAGCAGGGCCCAAGATGGTTTGAACCTTTTCAAATAAGTTTCTTCATCCATCGGTTTGAGCCCACCATGGCTTTATAGTCAAATTTTTGTGTGTTCTTTTGAATGAGTTTTATGTTGCTATTGCATCAATATAATTGATTATTAATCAAATATATTTATGAAGTTTTCTTAGTTTGGTTTGTCAATATGTTTCTTTTGTATTTTTTTTATTAATCTATGCATGCATTTGTTTGTATTTCATATTGTTTAATTGTCACAACTACTGATAGCATTCTGTTCATTAACCATTACTAATCAATTTTTTGTTGTGATTATTTTCAGGGAATAAACAAGATGTGCTTATTAATGGGTACTTCGCGCTATGGATAGTTTTGTTTTAGTTAGAGTGTCAATTGCAAAAATAATGTTTATAAGGAGATTGTTTTTTTTTTCTTTTGAATTTTACTAATAATGCATTCCAGATCTTTTAGCAATCCTTCTATTTCCATTTGAATGCGTGATTTCGTTTGCTTATGAATTTTTTTATTACAATTCTTCATTTCGTTGTGTAAATTGAAAAGTGGTACTTTTCTCATTTAAAAGTTTAATTGTATTATTGTAGATAAAACTATATGGTTGTGTTTATGTGTTAAAAAAGGTAGAAATTTACACAGAAAATATCACAAATCAAGCTTTCACGTGAGTGCATCAGACATATCAAGCTTATTATGAAAGAAATTAAATAAGTGTTGGACTTTCTCAGCTTAAAATAATAAGTGGTCGCGCCACGTCGAAAACAAAACTAGTTTGAGAGATAAAGTTACTCACAATTCTTTAATTCATTATCTCACTTATCGACATATTTATAATTAACAAAATCATGAGTTATTGTTACCGTTAATAAGCAAGAAAAAATTATTTTACTAATTGGTCCAGTTGAAAAGAAAAAAGGCTAAAGGTACAACCTATATATTGAACATTGCGTTTCAGACAAGTTGTTAACAAGATTTTTATACTACAAAGTCTGCAATAGTTTTTACATAAACACCAAAGTTTATATATTTATTTCACTAAATTACTGAAGATTTTATTGTGAAAAACGACAACATATTTTAAGAAAATAAATATCCTAAGTAACTTGGAGTTTTGGATCACCTCGCTTTCAAGTGATTTTCCAAATTGTCTTTTTCTTCTAATATGTTGGTAACCAGCTATACATTAAATTTGACCTGCGAAATATTCCTCCGATGCTAACTTTTTAATTATAGTCGCTCTATTTTAAAATTATTGTCTAATTTAGGTTTTCACTTGTGATTCAATCTGTACAAAAAATGAAAATGTAAACCAGACAGTGATTTCGCGATGTGTTGCAAATAAGTACGGACAAAATAATAAATGGTGTAACTATCTTTTAGGATTTGTATATACGTATCGTATAGATTATGTTATGAACTGAGATACCGTAAAGTATGAATATAAAAAAAATGACCCCTTCAATCTTTAACAGGTGAATCTATCCGGTGGAGGTTTCTAATTTTTATTTACGATTTTCTGATGTTTTTTTAAAACAATTTGATTGACGATGACGAAATGCAATCATTTTACGGTCATATCTAATTTATTGAGGTTGGCATTGATTAAATCTACTTAGTTTTCAACCCAAAAAAAAAATATACTCACTCTGTTCTAAAATTATTTTCCAGTTTGAGATTTCATTTTAGTATAATTTAAATTAAAAATGAAAATTTAAACTGGACAATAATTATAGGACGGAGGGATTAACATATGAAAATGCAAATTGCAAGATGAAACTTGGGGAAAATGCAAAGACTTTGCAAGTGACACAGTGATGTTCTGAAATTTTAATCAGTGCACGTGACATAGATTTGGCACCATTTGCCGGGAATCCCGATCATCGGCCCCGGAAGAAAACTTAACGGCTAGCTAACCAATAATAACAGCTTCCTAAATGGATAAGGTAAATATATCATCTTGTAGTATATCCTTATCTTAAAAACAAGTCCCTAAAGGAATTCACTATGAACGTCCAATGCGACAAGAAGCTTCATGGTATGATTGAATCCAATGAGAACCGGAAGTTACAAAGAATAAATTGCGGAAGTTGATGATCAAAGTATTGTTTGGATGATCATACTGAGAATTGTTAGTTTGGATTTGAAAGATAACTACATGAGATAATTGAGCCAATGAGTATATGCAATTTTCTGGTTTTACACTAATTATATCGGGTTATATCTCTGGATATTATAGTAACATGTTACTCGAAATATAATTTAAAACATTTTTATTTTGTTTAAAAGAAAAATGAGAGAAACCTTTGAATTTAGTTTTAAATTCAATAATAACATAGTATCGTGAGCCTTGCTGAAGCAAGAGATTCACAGTATTTTGTTCTTACAACCAAAATATATAGAATTTAGGGGGAAAACAACTTAATTTGTTTTCCAAAAGAAAAGTTCACCGAAATTAGATGTTTATTGTTTAAATGGAATTCTTTTTAACATGTGTGGACATCACATGATATCTGGCATGCACATGATTTAAAAAAATTAAAATACATTTGTAAATTCAAATAATTAATAAATTACGTGATGGTTTTATACGTACTTGAATCTTTTTGTGATTTACAATCTAGACTCTGATAACGAATGTTTATTGGTTTTTAATACAAAGAACCATGTAAAATCTCATCTAATATGATGTTAATTAATTTTACACTGTTAATATCTTATATAAGTGCAATAACCAATGTAAAACAAAAAATATTATTCTCTCCGTCTCATAAAAAACGATTCATTTGGTTGAATTACAGATAATACAATAAGGTAACTTATTTTTAAGACAGATAAGAGTAAAATTGTATGAGGAAGAAATATTTCTACTACATCCATCTAAACTAATTTCAATACCCCATTTATTTCAAAATAATTAACCAAAAAGATAATAATTGTCATGTTTGAATTTTTACACCTAATACATTTTATTTCCGAACACAAAAAGTATATTACTTACCGGAAACCACATTATGGTTTTACTAATGATTCGATCAATCAATACTGTAATATAATTAATCCTCTTATTGTTATTATTATTTTCATCAAATATGGAAGATGCATCACTTCCATCAAATTGTTTTGCATTTTTGAAAGTCTCAAAAGTCTTCATTGTTGCTTTCTCTCGGAATCTCCCAACTCAGAACTACACCAAGAAAATTCTTCACCACAAAACTGCTAGTCAGCGGTGAAGACTATTATTAATCTGGTGGCCTTTCTCTTTTCCCTTCCATTTTTTGCCAACAATTAGGAGCATAACACAAAATTATTAAAAGATAATTAATCTTAATTAAAGAAATTATTTCAATTATTGGATCAATACTATCCATCAAATAGAATTATTGTGATGAGGGAAAGTGAATACAGAGCAATGTTTTCAAAATTGGGATTTCACATAGGATCGTTTTGGCGTCTCAGGATCGAATCGGGTTCTGGATCGGATCAGTGGGATCGTAACCATTTAAAATATTATAATAATTCTGAAATTGCGAGTTTCAATTTGTTATTTCAACTCTTGTTTGATTTTATGGAGGAAAAGTAGATTTGTGCCCGCATAAGTATTATCAACTCAAAATTTTAACTTTTATATTTTTTCTAATAATTTTCCCTTATTTTTATACAAAATGAACAATTTGTACAAGTATCGATAAAATCAATGGGATCGCTAGATCGTTGGATCCTACGATCCGAATTGGGATTTTGAAGGATTTTATAAGATCCCACTACAAAGAAGGATTCTATAAGATCCATGTTCGATTTCCTGATTCTGGATCGCTGGATTGTAAGATTTTAAGATCCGGATCGAAATTTTGAAAACTATGATACAGAGTTACAAAATTTCACTAATTTTTTCTTCCGTTGGGTTTATAAAATCTAGCACTACTCGTATTATCTTCCAAATTATATTAATTGATCGTTTTTCATCTCAAATTTTCTGACAGTACGAAATGATTAAAATTTAAGAAGATTAATGTTGTGAAAATATTACAACGTGATCATTTTATATTCTCGAAGGCTACTGAATGCCTTAATTTTTTCATTTGAGCGCCTTAAAAAATCTTAAAAAGACTATTTTGTCCTCGTATATTTATTTTTTTTTAAAAAGGGGAGGGGGCGATGCATTTTTGCGTCAGCCTTTCACGGTAACGTGTTTCTCCGGCGCTAGCCGTGAAAGGCTGGCACAATTCTTCATCGCTTCCCCTTTTTTAAAAAATAAAAAAATAAAAATTAAGAGTAAAATTATCTTTTTTACATCTTTTTAAGACGCTTAAAAGAAAAAATTAGGATGCTGAGCAGTTACATCATTTTATATTTGCTATAAACGGATTAATTTTATAAAATAAAATAAAATTACACTGAGTGGTGAGTACTACATAGAAATTGGAGCTAGATGTGTATTATTATTTCTCTTTATACGTTAGACACAAACAAAATAGGAATACAGAATAAAACGCTTTCTCCTTTCTTTCTCTCTCACACAGTCACACAGTCGGCCTCTGTTTCCAAGAATAAAACACTGACGCAAAGTTGAAAAAGTGCCCAGAAAAATAAGACCTTTCTCTCTGGAACCAACCAGACAAAGCCCACATGCAATTCTTCTTCCTCTTCTTCTCCTCCATTTTCTAGCTTCAATCCAATCCATTTCTTTCATTTCTCAGCTTTCTTGTAGCTGCCTCATTTGCTGGGTTTGTTCTGGGGTGCGAGCAAGAAAAAAAAAGAAGAAAAAGATGGTGAAAAATCACAAGTTCCAGAACCAGCTCCTTTGGAGGAAGGGTGATGTTTATAAAGTCGTCGGAGATGAAGAAGCTCCTTGTCTCAGTTTAGTCTATGGTGGAAACTCTTTTGTTAATGGCAAGAAAACAGCAAGACCCAAGCTTTTGTACTTCATGCTCCTCACTTTTCTCTATTGCTGTTTGATTTTAACACCTCAGTACTTGACTTCCAGACCCACACTTTCCCTCCTTTGTAAGCTTTTCTTTGTTTGTATCCTTTTCTTTTTCAAATTTCTTTTTGGGTTTATGTAACGACTTTTGGGTTTTGTTTGCAGATTCATTTGGTGTTGAAGATGGTCGATTTTTCCCGGATGCTGATTTTCCAGGTTACCTTTGTGTAGATGTGGTTAACGGTGAGTTTCTTGCCCTTTTCTTCCCCCTTCCCCCTGTTTTGACGAAGAAAACCTGGATTTTTTGTTTTTTTGAGTGGTGGGGTTGGGAGGGAAAGTTCGATTTTGTTTTCTGAATTGGAAAATATTGTTAATGGAAATCTCTTTTGCTTTCTTCCTTAGTGGGTTCTCTTCTTTTGAAGAGTAATCATGTTTGGCATGTTCTTCCTGTATGCTGCCTTTATCCAGCCTTTTGTTTTTCCATCATTAATCTCTTCTCCGGCTGTTTGGCCTTTTGATGATTCAGGCCGGATTCATGAACTCTGTAGTCCTGTAAACTTTGAGTACTTACTGCACCCTTATTTTCTAAAATGTCATGATGATCTTTTTGCAATCCGTTGAGATTTTTGCCAAATTTAATGTTATTGCACAAAAGCTTAGTAAATTTAATCTGTAAAGTGGGATATTTGAAGCTATCCTTTGTTATTAAGTTGTTTCTCAAAGAGATTTTTGTGTAAATGCAGGGTCAATTTGTTGTGATAGGCATAGCAATCGGTCTGATGTTTGCATTATGAAAGGGGATGTAAGAACAGACTCTACAATTGGTTCAGTCTTCCTCTACAGAGGGAATAATAATTCAAGTGACTATGCATCGGGGCCTTCGGTGGATGGTGATGACGATGTTGATGAGGTTCTTCAACGTGAAAAAATCAGGCCGTATACTCGAAAATGGGAACCAGCTGTGATGGGAACTGTTCAACAATTGGAGCTTATTATGAAGAAAGGAAATTCAGGGGATTCTCACCATTGTGATGTGCGACATAATGTCACTGCTGTTTTCTTCTCTACTTCTGGGTATACTGGTAATCTCTATCATGAATTCAATGATGGGATTATCCCTCTGTACGTTACTGTTCAGCATTTGAAAAAGCAGGTTATCTTGGTGGTGGTTGATTACAAAAATTGGTGGTATATGAAATATGCTGATGTTGTTTCCGAGCTTTCAGATTATCCTATTATAGATTTTAGTGGAGATAACAGAACACATTGCTTTCCTGAAGCCATAGTTGGGTTAAGAATTCATGACGATCTCCATATTGACCCTTCATTGATGGAAGGAAATAGAACCATCCGGGACTTCAGAAATCTTCTAGACCGAGCATATTGGCCTCGAATCAAGGGTCTGATTGAAGATGAAGAGCGTGAAGCAGCTGAGTTGCTGGCATTAGCACCTCCGTCAGAACAGATGCTGAAACAGAAGTCAGATTTTCAGACAAAACCGAAGCTAGTCATAATATCCCGGAATGGGTCCAGAGAAATTACTAACCAAGATGCAATGATTGAATTGGCAGAAGAAATCGGGTTTTCAGTGGAAATAGTGGTACCCGATAAGACTTCAGAACTCGCAAAGATTTACAGAGAACTCAATTCAAGTGATGTTTTGATTGGAGTCCATGGTGCTGCATTGACTCATTTCCTGTTCATGAAGCCTGGTTCTGTTTTCATCCAGGTCAGCGTTCTTGGAACAGAGTGGGCATCAGACAAATATTTTGGCTCAACAGCTGTGAAATTTGGGTTGAAATATGTTGGATACCAGATTCTCCCCGAGGAGAGCTCACTATATGATAGTTACGCGAAAGATGACCCTGTTTTGGTAGATCCTTATGCGGTTAACAGGCGAGGTTGGGAAGTAACCAAACAAATCTATCTTGATCACCAGAATGTGAGGCTGAACTTGAGAAGATTTGGAAAGGTGTTGTATCGGGCATATTACTATACTCTGGCAAAAAGGAAAGGCCGTGTTCTTCCTCTTGATTTGCAATAGTTTACCTTGGACATGGGACTTTCTCTCTTCAACATTATAGATGAATGATACTGTGCAAGTTAGGTTGGAGAGAGAGATCTTCTTGTAAATGTAAGCAGGAACTTGCTTCCTTTTGGTAAATAACTAGTTAATTCATTTCAAAGCTCAATTGATTTTTTCTTGCCTTTTCTTTTTCCCCTAGTTGTGTTTAAGTAGTCTCCTTGTGGTTAATGTGCATCCCCTGTACAAGTTTTTTTTTTCTTATATATACAAAGAATAGCAAGTATTTGGATTTCTCAACTTTATTATCTGATGATTTCGAATGGATAGTTTTAATCTCTACAATTTCTCGATTTTTAACTATGAACAACAAGGCAGACAAATCAGGGAGCTTTGACTTTGAGGTGTGTGAAAAGGAAATTAGAAGGATCATCAAACATGTAATCAGGGAAATTGGTGGGCCAATTATGCTGTGAAATGTTGGTGAAATCTACTTTAATTTTGACGTTGATGTTCATTTGTTGTTTTAAAATTTACCTTTCCGTTCTTCCACATAAGGATCTTAAAGGTCTATTCGACATTATTTCACCCAAATAACGCCATAAATCAGCCGGTAGATTCGGGATTTGCCCATCCCCTTTCCTGCACTCAGATTGTCTGGATTTTACTAAGCATAGATCTGAATGGTGCTTTAAGACGGACGATGAAAATTTAGAAGGCAGCGGACGACCTAAAATCTGCAAGACGGTGCTTTAGGATGAGCGATGAAGATCTATGAGGCGGCGGACAGAACCTAAGATGTCTCATGAGGGTAGACTCGTTGATGCTTAAGTTAAAAATAAGAATAGAATAAAGATAATAAAGAAAAAAGATATGTATCAGGTGTAGAAGATGTAGAAAATAGGTAGAAAATGTGTTTTATGAGAGAGGTACCACCTTTTTATATAGAGTTGGTGTTATCTGTTTCCTGAAATCCTATTAGAGTAGGTTTAGGCGGTAATTTAATCTTCAAATAACCTAATCCTAGGCCCAATAAACCTAGAATTTATTTTGGACTCGAGTGTCACACATATGCTTCTTTGTGAAATTTTAACAACGAAATTTGAAGTTTTCTTTTTTCTCTTTATTTATTCAAAGAACTTGATCATCTAGATAACTACCTTCCGAGTGTAACACCCAACATTTGTAAAACTATTTTATCAATAAGTTATATATTAACAATTCCCCATTTGGGACTAGAGTGTGTTGAAATGTCACATTTTGGACTAGAGTTTAGGCATACGGTCAAACAAGGAAGATGTTTCTACATTTTAATAATTCCAGTCAATTTAACCTGAGAAAATCCTCTACAATGGATCTAAATACACAATTAGATTCTTACAAAAGAAAAAAAAAACGAATAACATTAAAATCAAATTTCTCTTGAGTTTGATATGCAAAAAATAAATTTCCGCTAAAATTATTCTTGCTCTATTTTGGAAAAAAATTCTATGTAAATCCTTAAATTAGGAAACAATCAATTACCATTGTTGCCCAATGGAGGAAAAAGGATTTCTTCTTATATGAATCACACCTTTTTCTATTATATTTTCTTTTTTGGGGTGACTTTCTCAATAAAAATTCCGGATTAACACCAAACAAACTGAGCTGGTGATCTCTGAAATATACCTCATTATTTATCCAGAATTATTGAGGTTCACAAAGTTGTGTGTGTCTGAAATGGCAGTGACAAACTGTATTTTTAAGGTATTTGTTTTGGCAGTTACTTGGTCAGCATTCTCTGCTTTTTCATCTTCTTCACATGCTTATGTCTCACTTATCCTTTGGACTTTTTAGTACCCAATGCATACTAATTTTTCACCTCTCTCTATTTATTTATTGTTAAAATAATGATTCTATTCGCTTTCACGTATCTATAAATCAAATACTAAATCCTGTGTTTTGGTTGGGTGACTTGGACTGCATAGATCCCTGAATCCCAATTCATTTGACTTGACTAATGATTTGTGATTTGGGTGATTTGACTGCTGTATGATCTCTACCAACTAGATTCATAACACATTAAAGAAATTACAACTATATTTAGCTTCTGTATAGTTTTTTCTACACCATACACCATCACGTAAATATCTCTCCATTGAGTACTTACTTTCAATTAACTATGAACTTGTCAAACACTACCAAAATTAAATTACAATTCTCTGTAACATTAGAAGCTCATCCCATTTTCTAATAGGGTTTGAAAGCTACCGTTCACGGTTTGATCTCTAGTTGTAAACCGGAGACTAGATGGGGGTTGTAGTTGGGGGGATAACAGGAGCTTATTGAGCAAGTGGCAAGTGTTGTGTTTTTTGTAAATGGCAATATCCCATTCAATTGGCAATGAAGTTACGGTACATAATTCGAGGTTGGAAGTGTATTCGAGAATTTTTATTTTTAATTCAAATTTTACTAAAAGTAAAATCTCAAACTGGATAATAATTCTGTGACAATGGAAGTAATACTTAGCAAACCCATAATATATGACAGTGGTTTTTCAGGGGTTCGATACCTTGTTTTTAAGTAAGAGATTAGGGATTCATCTGATCATGAACTATACATACTTCGAGGATGAAACTATATTCCTCTAAAAACTTAGTAAACCCGTCCTGTGATACATATTAGTAGTTTTTGGAGGGTTTGGTACCTTGTATTTTAAGTTGGAGACGAGAGACTTAAACCTAGTGGTTTACCAGTTGGGAACAATATAAGTGAATGCAAAACAGGTGGTTATTGTGCAGAAGTGCACAGGAGAACTAGCACCTAACTTACAAAGCAGACAAGATATTCAAATAAGAAATGTAATTTTTTTTTTCAAACTAATGAAACGAATGAAATGAAACTAATGGAACATCATCTGCCAATCTGTACAGTATCATCAGAAACATTTTCTTTTGAGCGCTGCTGCTCATCTGCAAGCAGTATTTGATGTTTTTTTTTTTTTTTGGTTAAAAGTACCTATTTTATTATGATAAAGGTACTAATCTATTACATTGCATACGATTGAAAGTTAGATTATGCATATCTAGTACATCCCATCTACTTTAGTAATTGTACAAAAAGTAAATGACGAAATTAAAGTATTTAATAATGAAAGGATTTCGCGGGAATCGGATGGCATCAAAGGGGCTTGCAAACCTTGCGATAGAACTTCACAATCCGTGAAAACCTGAATCCAAGTAAGACCAAGAGTTGACGCTTCCTGTAAAGCTAGAAGACATGTGGTAGCTTCAGTTTGGAGCGGTGTAAGGGCATTAATCCCTTTGGTTGAGACTTGCATCACCATGCCATTTGGGGATATAATTTTCCATGCTCCAGCTGCCTGGCGTGTTATGACTAAATGAACCATCAAAAATAACCAGAGCAGTATTAAGCATCCGAAATGGTGGTCTCTGATTAGGCAAATGACTAGTAGAGGAGGGTACTGGATTGATCCATTGTTGGAGACTAAGAAGGGATCGAAATTCCGACTGAATTAAGCTCCAAGAAGTTGTCGGATCCTGAACTTGATTTCTCCAGACTTGTCATTACGGTCAAGCCAAATGCGCCACATAATGAGGAGTAGTAAATCAACATCCTGTTTGGATGGCTATGTTCGACACCAAGCAATGAACCATTGGAACAGAGAGTGATAGGAAGAATTGAAGATGGAACTGAATCGAGGGAAAGCAAGTGCCCAAAGTGCTTATGACATCTCACACTTAAGAAACAAGTGTGTACTGTCTTCTTCTGCTCGAAAGCACCGTGGGCAACTAGTTGTGATTGGGACTCCTCTTTTGCTAAGCTCAGAACGAGTAGCCAAAGGGTTTAAACAAGCTCTCCAGAAAAGGAATTTTTGGTTGGGTTGTAGTTTCGAATTCCATAGCCTCTTCCAAGCTAGCGTCCCTGATTGTAAGATCGCAGGATCCGAAATAGACTGTGGGATTGTGGAATTAATTGCCACTTGATAACCAGTTTTTATTGTATAACGGTCATGATCCGTGTGGATCCATTCTAAACAATCCTGTTCTTCATGCCTTGCTGGATCAATAAAAATATCATTGATGATGGAAATATTGTGGTTTGGGAAAAAAAAATTCCTTAGAGCATGGACACGCCATTGACCTGTTGGAGAAATAAACCGCTTGACTCGAAGATTTGCTGTTGTTAAAACAAATTTGAGTGCTAATCGGATTAGAAATTCCAAGAATCCAATTTGAAGAAAGCAGAGTATCCTTGCCAGATATAATCTTCCACCTCAAATTTCCTAGTAATAATTCTGCACCCCAAAGAATGTTTCTAAAGCCCCAAGAAAGTTTTTTTGACGTATGCAGTGGAGGGAAAGTGTCACCTGGGCAATACTTTGCAGTAAAGAACCTAGCTAATAGTGAATGTGGTTCCATCATCATTTTCCAAGCATGTTTGGCTAACAGGGCCTGGTTGAATTCCTTGGTAGCCTTTAGACCCAAACCACCATGAAATTGTGACTTGGTAATCTTCTTCCAGGCTCGCCAGTGAATCTTGTGATCATGTGTATTACCTTTCCAGATAAAATTAGCAATAATCTTGTCTGCTTTGTCCAGAGTGTGCGGTGGAAGTCGAAAACACCCATGGGATACACCAGCATAGAGGAGAGTGTAGATTTAGCAAGTGTGACATGTCTTGATAAAGAAAGCAACTTGGTCTTCCAAGACGCAAATTTGTTGCTAAGCCTGGTGGTAAAATCCTGGAAAATGGTGGTCTTATGCTGTGAGAAATCCAAAGACATACCAAGGTATTTATTGTGAAAAGGTCCCCGGGGTATATTGAGTGTATCATGAATCAATTCTTGCATCGCTGATGGAGTATTGGCACTTGTCAGGATTGAAGATTTCTGTAGATTTATCTTCTGACCTAAGTAATTCGTTTAATTTTCCAACAGACCAGCAAGGGCTTGAATCGTTGAAGGAGTACACTAAATGAAGAAAAGGCTATCATCGGCATACATAAGGTGACTTAATCTTGGAGTTTCACGACTGATCTTGACACCCAACCCAGGAAAAGGCTGAATTTCAGCACGAAGAGCAGAGGAAAGGACTTGTTGGCACAGGATGAAAAGATAAGGTGAAAGGGGACACCCTTGTCTTAGACCTTTATTTGGTTGAAAAGAAGGAAGATTTTCACCATTGAAAAGAATGGAGTAAGACACTGATGTGACACAATGCATTATCAAAGTTAGCAGACGAGGAGGAATTCCAGCTTTGGTGAGAACAACTTCAAGAAAAGGCCAAGCAACACGGTCGTAAGCTTTATTCATGTCAAGCTTAATGGCTGCTAAGCCAGAATCACCTTTTTTTGTGACGTATCGTCTAAAGAACTTCGTGAGCCATTAGAATGTTCTCACTTATATTCCTGCCAGGAACGAAACCATTTTGATGATCATGAATGAGGGAATTTAGCACCTGTTTCAAACGGTTAGTAATCATTTTAGTAATGACTTTATATTTAACATTACAAAGGCTGATGGGGTTCGGAGTCGTCGGAGAGGCATGCTTAGGGATCAAAGCTAACTTTGTTTGATTCCACTCTTGAGGAAAGGAGCCTGTGATAAAAGCTTGCAGGGTTGATGATTCCACCTCCTGACCAATGATTGCTTTATAATGTTGATAGAAGCCAGCTGGTATGCCATCAGGTCCGGGAGATTTCCATGGTGCCATCTGATGGATTGCATCCCTTACTTCATCTGGTGTGAATGGAGCATCCAGGAGATCAATTTGATCTGAGGTAAGGGTTTCCTCTACATTACTTAAGAAAGAAGTAAAGAAAGAGGAGTCTAGAGAGGATTGGGATGCTGAAGATTGTGACATATAAATGGCGGAGAAATGTGTTGGAAGTAGAGAAGCTATCTGTCCAGATTCCTAAAACCAAGCCCCTTGATCATCACACAATTCCGTGATCCATTTGTTACCTTTTCGTCTAGCTGCCCAATTGTGAAAAAACTTCGTGTTTTTATCTCCCAGTTGTGACCAGTTAATCTTGGCCCTCTGCTGCCAATATTGTTGTTGAAGGAACAACACTTCTTCTAAAGCAATCCGTTTGGTTTCTAAAGCAGTGGTCAGTTGTGAGTTAGCCTTGTCCGCCTCCCACTGGGTCCGAGCTTGACTAAGCCAGCTAATTTATGGACTAAAGAATCAAGATGGCCAAACTTGGATTTGCTCCACTGATGAAGGTGAGTTAGGGTTTTGTGGAGTTTGGAAGAGAGGATATCTTGTGAATCAGGAATAGAAAGATGAGGTAAAGGACCAAGCTTGTGTGACCTGTGGAGTCGAACCAGGACAGGTTGACCAGAACTGTTCAAATTTAGGTTTTCGTTTTGGTCTATGCTTCTGGAGAATATCTACTAACATAGGACCATGATCTGAACTCATAATAGGGAGGTTTCTGATAATGGCATCCTAAAAGTTTGAAACCAAAGTTTATTAACAAAGGCTCTATCCAAACGTTCAAAAATAGCATCCGAACCTTGGCGTTTGTTGGTCCAAGTGTACCAACAACCTAGATGCTTGAGCTCTTCCAAATCATTTACAGAAAGGAAGTGTCCAATAGTTCTGGTATCCTGAGTGCGGACGGGACGACCACCATGTTTGTCCTCCTGTTCTGTAACCTGATTAAAATCACCTAATAAAATACTAGGATAACGATTACCTTGGATGATTCCATTCAAACTAGACCAAAACTACACAAAAATGGCCATCCAGATTAAACCAGTTGCTTCTGTGATCTGAGTAACTATCACATTGGCATCCTGGTAGACTACTGCTAGTTTAATATTAGCTAACCAAAAGAGACCCAGGCCCCCACTACTGCCAATAGGGTTGACAATGCAACAATTCTGAAAAACAGACGACTGGAGCCAAGCTGATATAGTAGAGTCTGCAGCTTTGGTCTCCATCACAAACAAAATACTAGGTTTATAGTTCTTTATAAGCCTACTTAACATACTTTTGGACGAGGCATTATTCATGCCTCTACAATTCCAACAGATAATACTCATGGAAACAGAGATCAATCCCCGCAAAACCACTCAGATGGGTTGGTGCCGTTGCATGCTGTTCTCCTTCCTCCCAGGCCATTTCCAAGTCATTGAAGAGAGTCCGCACCTCCTCATACATCACAGCATTGTGCCTTCTCTTCTCTGGGCGCTCTGCGTTGGGAAGAGAATCCTCAGAGCTTCTTTTTTTGTTACCTGTGGATTCCAATGAAGTGTCAGAGCCAGCAGACTCATCAAAATCCTCATCTTCAATCTTCATACGCCAACCAGGTGCAACATCACTATTGAGAGAACTCTGTTGAACAGTATGCAGAGAATCATGTAGGTCTGAATCAGAAACTGCCTTTCTAGCCTTCATGAAAAACTCCTCATTATCACTATCAGTCTGGGAGGACGCATCCAACAAAGAAGGTAGGGCCGAATTTGAGGAAGAGCTACCACGAGATCCTTTCTTCTTAAAATTACAGCATCCCGTAGCATTAACAGGGATCCTCCTCCTTTCTTGAGACCCTCCATCACCAACATAGTTCCTAGCACTAAGACTTTGACTCGTCCAAACACCAGAACTCACATACACAGAATCACTAGCAGTGTCATCATTTATAGCATCACTAGAAGCATCACTAAGTTGAGAACCAGCAAAACCAGATACCGGAGAAATGTCTTGATGTGGTGGATAATCAGACACATTAGGAATGAAGAAATCCGGGACATAAGAAGGATTTTTTCCATCATAGCATCAGAAGGAGGAACATTCGGAATCTCATAAAACAAATTTGGCATATAGAATTCACTAGCATCATCAGGGAAGGAATGGACAGAATTTTGATAAAATCCAGAGGAATAAGAGGATAAAGAGTGAAAATTGTCACTTTGGTCAGCAGAAAATGAGGAATCTGTCTCTTCCCCTGCCGCAGAAGTCGCGCTTCTAGAATAATCAACCTCCACCCCTGCATAAAGGCTTGATCTACCATCCGTCGGAATTGGTGGCCTATCATCAGCAATAAAGTTATCAGCATTGACTTCATCCATGTAATGATCATATCCCCCAGATGAGGAATCATCATCATCACCATTGCGATCAGGGTTAATTTCATCCTGATCATCTTCATTAGATTGATTATCATCCTCCTCCTCATCAGCATCATCAGAATTATGATCATCAGGATTATGCGGGGACCAAGGGTACCATGGCACCGGAGCATCCTCTTCAGTCTCAGAGATAGTAAAACCATCCTGGATATAGTTATCCGACACTGAGTCATAGAAATCAAGCATTGCATCCACCTTGTAATCAGGCAGGCGAGTACAACGCTTCTGCTTATGAGCGTGTGCCCAAATAGATCCAGAATACAGAGGCTTATTAACATCCACCAACAAAGGAGAGTCAAACTTAGCTGCTCTGGTAGTAAAAAAGTTGTTGAGGAAAGTAGTCAGAGCATCCATCATCCTTCATGAGATAACAATGAGTGAGTGGATGACCCAAACGACCACACCGTTGACAATACTTATGCATCTGCTCAAACTTACATATGATTTTTGCCATTTTATCATTCCTTTTTGTAAAATAAAAAGAAGGAACCAAAGGGTCACCAGGTTTTATCCATACCTTTGCTCTGATATAGGTGATTTTGCGCAAAGACACACAATCCTGTTTGATAACTTCCACATCTCCAATCCTTTGGGCTAGATCTTCCAAGGAGCGGTAATTCATTGAAGTAATAGGCACGCCATGTATGCGAATCCTGATGCTCATCTTCTCTATCTTGATACTATCCAAGACCAGATCTTCATGATCATAGCATCGCGAAGAATAAGTAATCCACCATTGACAGCATATGGCCATTATCCAGAATAGCCATCATTTCAGCTCTATTCATAAACTTCAAGATAAAGAAGTTACGATCATAATATAGTACTCGAACTGCAACTGGCCATTTTGCTACTATATAATCTTGCATGACTTTGTCATCTATCTCAAAGTCCTCTATCAGATAACCTAACAGTGACAACTTCAAATTATCACGAGATAATTGGGTATGAAAATCCGTCAATTACATGTTGCTCGATCGGAGAAAAGAGCGAGAAATTTGCCTTGGATCTGGATCGATGATAGAGTGAAGGTCATGCCCTTCCTCCGAAAAGTTATATCCTTGAAGCGACATAGCCGTGACCAAGTTTTTATCCAGTGCATGTCGATAATTTATTGTGAAAAAGACAGAAAATGTTGATGAAGATAAAGTGTTTAAGGAGAGGAGGATTATGAAGATAAAATAACAAAACTAGATCTACTCAGTAGAAGGGAAGAAAACAACAAAATGGAAGAAAGTAGAAAAGACAGAGAATGTTTGAAGTGCTAAATTAATGAACAAGGGTCCAAAACCACAGCATATCAGAAAATTAGTACGGTGATGTGAAAAAGAAAGGAAAGGAAAAGAACCAAAAGGCGGAAGCCTTTATGGCTCGAATCTAGGAAAAATCAGAATCTTTGGAAGGTGAAAGGGAAATGAGAGGCTTAAGAAAAGGTTGCAAACTCTGATAAACAACCTGACTTATAAAGGCAAAATCCACCTTAAGAAAATATACTAATACATAACATATTCGGATTAAAGAAATTGTGTGACAAGACCAGAAATGTGCATGGCGTCCAAATGCCAATCAAATACAGATCTAAGGTAAAGCAGAAGTTAAAAAATTATAAAATTAGAAAAACCAAGGGATTGGACAGTGGTTTGTTCCAAAACTAAGGGCGGGATCAAGAAAGGTGTGATGGAAAACAAATTTAAAGAAAAGGAATAAAAGGCTAGATCGAAGGAAGGTAATCCATCGTCTAAGGTGTTATTCTCTTTGGGAGAAGTAAACAGTATATTCTCTCACTAGAATTTTAGAGAGAAGGACGATCCGTGAAAATTTGCAGTATTTGATGTTACTTGTTAGTATAGTTCTTCGAGTCAAAGCACTATATATTATTCCATTGTCTTCCGGTGAACTACATTCTACATCCATCTTTTTGTCATATTGGTCGAAGCACGGACGGCCGGAGGGGGTGTCGTAGGAGGATTTCTCTTTTCATCTGCCATAATCGGAAAAAGCGTCATTAGAGTCGAGTGAAATCCGAAATGAAATTCGAAAAGGTTACCTTGCTAGGCTAAAAAGATAACAGCCTTTGGAAAAAGTTACTACTTAGTACTTACTAGTTGTAGAGTTAGTGTATGGAATAGGATTTCCTCCCAAAGAAGATCTCCTTGATCTCTCCGGTGGTTGCATATTAGTCAATGACTGTCTCCTTAGTGCTTTCAAGTTCGACGGAATTGGAGACTGTTCCTCATCAAATATGTTTTCCATTGAGCCATTCAAAGGCGATAGAGCAGCTCCTGTTTCTAAGAATTTGGGCTGATTCCTGTGGTTGCATAGCACAAAATTTTATGAAATATCAAAAGAAAGCAAAATCACAGTGAATTCAACATTAAAATACTGTAACTCCCAGGTCTCTAAAAATTTAGCTTCATGAGGTTGAATCAATGAAAGGAAATCAAATGAGAACTTCAGAAGAAATGGTTACCTTTTCTCAGAACCATTGATAAGTTTCCCGATAGTCCGAAGTGATTTCCTTATGTGAGATCCCTTTCCATTTGAAGTTGTGTTAGTCAAGCCAGGAATCAAAAGTTCGGAAGGAACACCTTGAGCTGTCTTTATTCCCTTCTGGCCTACAGCTTTGGATGCTGATGTAGGATCAGGTGTCATTGTTTGTTGAAGACGTGGTATTCTTGTTCTATTCTCTACTTTGGCCATAGGACTTCTTAGAGCAGGCTTCGTAGGACTTTTAAGAGGAGGCTTGGTTGGACTCCTTAAAGCAGCCCTGGTTGGACTTCTTGGAACATTTGAGAGGTTGAGATCAGCTGCAAAATCACCATTATCGATAGTTCCATGAGATGTACTAGTTAGTGACTCTGCATCTTCAAAATTGGCAGTGTTCTGTACAAAGGGGCCTTGCGGTTGAACAGGCTCCACTATCTTAATCTGCTCAGGATTTGTTTTAGTCAATCTGGGTCCTTCCAAGCTTAATCTCCTTGATCCTCTCTGCGGTGGTGGGGTTTTAGGTACCTTTTTCTCAGTTATTGGCGACCTTGCAGCGTCTTTTGATTTATTTCTTTGTGGTGTATATGCATCCCGGTCGGCCAATGTCTTCTTTAGGCTCTCAATCTGCGATACAGTCAATACAATCAGTGATTTGAATTATAGATCATTAAGTGCATACGTGTGTGTATTACTGATGGCATTCCATTCCAGTTCCCCAATGTTGATTTTAAGGTTACTCTAATTGATGAAATCATAACAAAACAGTGTCAGGACAAATATAGATAGCATAAAATTTTCTTTTACCTGTGCTTTGAGCTCTAAAACTTCACTGCTTTCTTTGTTTGCACAAGCTGCACCAAGCTCCACAGTTGAGACCCTTTGAGCAAACTTCAAGGTACTAACTGTTTCTCCAAAAGAATCAGACTCTGGGCTCACATGAGCTATCATCAATGTTTTTGCATGTCCACCTGCCCCGTTTCAGAATTGCGAATCAATGCCGCGATTTTACTCAACCGTATAACATTCATCAAGTTGTTTTTACTGAAACTGACGGCTCATGCTATAATTGCATATGAATGTTCAACATAAATGCACAATACTTGCAAAATCTGAAGCAAATCCAAGAGGATGTAGAAAGCAATTGTTGATACCTAATGCATTTTGCAACAGTAGTGTAAGCTTGCTGTTTCTATAAGGGATGTGAGAATTCTTCTGGGCCAATGCCATAATGACATCTCCCAAACTTGAAAGAGACTTGTTGATATACTGCGCCTCTTTAAGCCCTTCTCCAGTGACTTCAGACTTGTCTACGCGTTCACTACCTGCAAGGTCTACCAAGTGAAGGCAACTGCGAAGTCTGTTCCCGGATACATCTTCAGCATTCACGTGAATGGTTAGCACACTGCAAAATGGATTGAGCTCCATAATAAGTACAACATGAATATATGAGGTTGCTCTGCAACCCAAGTAACATAACAAATGGCAAAGACTGGAGGCAGTCTACTTCACCTGTGAGAACGACTGCTTCTGTTGTTGATTGCAGTGGAGCCAACAGCTCGGTTGGTTTCCCCAAATTTCATCAAGTTAATCACATCGGAAGTAGACCTCACACGGTGCATTGAGGCATCCGGAAGAGCCAAGTCTTTGTTGCTCAAACAGCTTCGAATCTCTAATGTATTAACAGTTAAGTAGGCCAAATTATGGAGTTAATATTGCATGAAATAGATAAAGAGGTCGGCTGATAAATTTCAAGGCTGCAAACTTAAAATGAGAAAAGGATATTTTGAGACTGACGAATCTTCTGTAAGAAGATCACGCACTTGCTCATTGTATATCTCAACCATTTGCACATGGATATCATACTTCATGATGTTCTTTCTTTCAACTGATAGATGAAAGAGATCATTGATGGCTAAATAATTAATTCCTAGCTGATCATTTGCACCACCAGAAGGTCCACACTGGACAAAAAACAAGGGAAAACAAAAATCCATTAGCAGGAAACAGTATAAATCTCTCTCTCTCTCTCTCTCTCTCTCTCTCTCTCCCCCCCTCTCTCTCTCTCTGTTTGTATAAAACAAAAATCCATATAACTTATTTTCCTGAAAGAATCCTTCTCAGCTAATCCCTAAATGTGAACCAAATATCCTCGAAAGCAGAAAGAGTGAAGTCATTAGGAATTGTGTTAGGCCTTACCATTGTGTGTGTTTTTCCAGATCCAGTTTGTCCATAAGCAAAAATGCACACATTATACCCGTCCATGACTGATCTAATGAGTGGACGAGTATCTGCAAACACATCCTCTGGAAATAGCAAAAGTATTACACTGTCATTGAATAATTTAATTGAAGTATACGACTTCAAAAATGAACAGGGACTGAACAATAGTACCTTGAGTGGCACTCGGCCCAAATACACGATTGAATTCAAAAACTCTTCTTCCATCTTTTTGTGGTTTGAGTGGATCTGCAACTACCAAAGACCCATCCTCTCCAACAAAATCGATGCAACTTTTTGCCTCAACTCTGAATAGAGGCCTGATTCTGCAGTACACTCTAATATTTCCTATAAACCAGTTCAAAAGAAAGAATGAATATCTGCACTTCCATCTAGCAAACAATTTTCAGCAAACATCATAATACTGAAGGTAGTGAAGGTAGAAGTGCAGTAGTAACTCTATATATATTTCATTCACTTAGTTGCATCATACGCCCTTAGTTCAATGCCTAGAATACAACTGTTTTTCTCATGGGAATGTTCAAGAGAAGTTTAACGTCTTAAAAAGTTCAATTTGAGAAGCAAGCTGCAAGAAATAGATTGAAGTTAATTCAATGGATACCTTTTAAATCCTGAACCATGTTGTAGAGATTCCTGTTCTCTTCAACAACCTTATGGTACTTTTGTGCAGCAAAAGACATCTCTTGCACCTGTCCTCCTGAGATGATAAAGATGCAGCATATTGTGAAATATTGTTGTAAGACTATATAGCATACAATAAAGTATCATCCAATGCCAATAAACAGCAAAAAGTACTGTCAAACAACATACCAACTAGTTGCAAATCTCTCTGTAATTGAATTTGCAGTTGTTGAAACTCTTTCTTTGCACTTGCAAGTATCATCTTGAGATTCTGTAAGTCAAACGTGTGAACCAAACAGTAAGAAAGATGTCTCATCCTGATGAATGTCAGAAACAAAAGTCTATTTTCTGATCACTTTGAGATATGAATCACAAGTGTAACTGGACTCTTGATTCTTAAATAATGGCATAATTGTTGTTCTATTATACTATTACTTACCAAAATTTCCTTTTCATGCATCTGAACCAAATTCCAGTGGTTACAGGTACCATTCCTCAAACATGCCCTGCACCACTGCATAACAGCAAATATATCATCCAATTGGTCATCCAGCAAAACTCAACACATTGTTCCAACCATTTGAAAGAAGCATTAAAAAAAATCAGGTTCTAACGGTATATCATAATGCAAATTACCTTTCCATTTCGAGGAGCAGACAAATTTTGTGGGGGAGTGGAAAATGCACTGCCAGTTGGGCTGCTTCTCATGTTAGGTTTCAAAATTTTTGGATTCAACTGGAGAAGATGTGCAAAAAGGAAAAAAAAGGTTAGTCTTATAACACTATTACATGAACATGCCAAGAGTTTCTTCATAAGGAACAGTAAACTTGAAAGGGAAAGTAAGGTCATTTTATGAATACTATGGCGTTTCTGTATTCAGGCAGTTCAATTTATCTATTCAGGAAGACTAGTCTACCAGATCAATGCAAGTTAATGAATTTCTCATTTGTTATAAAAAAAAAGAAAACACTATCGTGACATGAATCTCAAGATGAATCTTTCAGGAATTGTAGTCTCAATTTGGATCAAGAACTCAACAAAAGTTCTATGCAGGAAAGCTTCAAATATACCAGGGGAAGACAGGTATATGGGATGGACGGTGGGTTTTAAAGTTAAAGTAAAACAATAGAGTATATCAAGAAAGCTAATTATGGGATTTGTAGTGAGGAAACAATATTTATTTCCTTTAACTTCCACTCTGCATTTATAAGCCTATTCTGTTATGCTCAGTTAAGCCTCAAAAGTATAATAGTTCCACAACCTATAGATATGGAATTTCAGATAAATAACTTCATCATCGAAAGTTCCAACAGGGACAACCTTCTATTCATGTTGAAGAAGACTGCATGACAAATCCTCGTGCATGAATGCTCATGCAAGGTCATGCTACCAAAGTCCCATGCCCAAAATATTGATAGTCCAGTTTTCAAAGGAATACAAATTGAGTGTCTTCATCACCAAAAAAAAAGTAGAAGTAACCCTTATCATCTCAAGTCATTTCATGCATGAGTTATACATGTTCAAAAAGATACTTGAATTTTTCAGCAATTAGTAAGTTCATCAATCAGAATATAGTTGTTATTTATGGCAATGTATCACTGACTGAAATTGAAGCAAAGCAGTTCAAGTATTACAATATCACAGTCACTAAAGAAAGTGCTAGACGGAGCCAACTGTGAACCAAGCGCACATAAAGCTAGCGAAGTTACCGAGATTTCACCTTATCCCAAACCTTGATTGTACACCAATTAAAAAAAGGATATATACAGGAAGCCTAGTCTTAAAAGATGTTATAGAAAAAGGTTAAATAACTGAAACTTCCACATTCTGCTTCTTGGTAATTAATCTAGTATATTTCAACATATTCTTGTTGTCAAAATTCAAAGTAAATAACATGTTTGATAACTCAAGCTCACCTCAGGAAACTTTTTCTGGAGTTGTTCCTCCACACAATTAGATAATACCTCTCTAAACAACTTTGCTGGATCCTGTTTCCGAAAGACTTGAGATGAGACCCACTTTTCACTTCTATAACAAAATGGTGACTAAGAACGGAAAGGAACTCTGAAATTAAAAGATATACCATGTTTCCATCATGTAATGAAGCGAAATGTTCATAGTCCACATTTTCCTTAGATTCAACCATATAATCAGTCAGAGCCTTGACTATATAATCTGAAATCCACAGAAAAAAAAAAAAAAATTTCAAAATCATATGTGAGATGGAAGAAACAAACTGAACTAGCTAGGATCCCAATCATGCAATTATAGCTTTACCTTCTGGAGTAACATATAGATAAAGGCAGCACCATATGCATTTTAGCATGCACAGGCAATGTAAGTTTAAATCCATAAATAATCATTCAAATCATGAAACTTAACCTCATTAGTCTTTAATGCATAGTCATAAGAGCTTAAAACAGATCAAGAGGTTAAAAGTGTTCCTTTACATCGCAAAACTACCAAAACAAACCTTGAAATTTCTGATTTTCAGGTAGTGCAGGTGGTGGCTTTTCACTGCTTGACAGTTCCAATTGTCGGCAACTATTGGATATTGTTGTTCCTTGGGGGCGTGAATTGGGCCTACACGATGAATGCACCACAAAAGGGGATCTTGGAGGCTTAAAAACTCCATTACTCCCAGGCATCTGCTTCCACTCCTGATATGCTTTAAGTGCCAAAAGACAGTCAACAACCTTTGTTGACAATCCCTCCTCCACATTCTCCTGCAATTACAAAATACGGACCACACAATTACTCAACAATTATTCTTTTTGTGATGCAGACAGGTTGGAACAACTTAAAAGTCTTTAACCTTACCCTCTCAAAAATAGATGCTTCAAATGAAGGAAGCTTCAATTCTTCAACAGCTACCAAAAAGTTCTTGACATTTTCGAAATATTGATAGGCAGGCAATGGTTGTGAATCCCAAAGAAGTGAATTGAAAGATGATTGCTTCTCCACAACCTGAGAAGCAGTCCATAAACAAACTGATAATGTCAGAAAACAAATTTGACCTCAAAGGCAAACTTAGTAAGAATTGGCAGTGGATTTACCTTTGGAACAGAGCCTGGTTGAATTTTGTTGATCAAATTACAAAGGATCAGACCATTTCTTAAACAGGTAATGAACTCTTGTTCTGATGGTTGGTTTGATATTCCAAGTGGCCCCATCACACATTCGAGCCAGTGTGTGGCTTGAAATCTCCTCAGGGCTGTAAAAATACACATAATTCCTCGCATAAATTCAGCAATCCAGAAATCATTTTCTCTTGGATTCGAATTGAAGAGAAAAACCCCAAAACAGTAAATAATAAAGAGAAAACCTCCAAAACAATAAGATCGACTGGTAGTGGAAAGGGTCCTAAATTTCTTAATCCTAATTCCAAATGTCAATTTTCAGTTATATTTCTGTTCAGAGTGTGCTCATAAATCCTCTAATGAATTCAGCAATTCAGATATCCTATTCAGTTGGACATGAAATTGAAATGACAGTCTCCCACAGTTCAGCAATTCCAGAATCCCTTTTTCACCAAATGCTGAACAGAAAAACAGAAATCTTAGCTATTGTCGAAAAGGAATTCTTAAATTCATAAACCCAGATTTGAAGTATCAATTTCCTGATATATTTATAAGAAAATCCAATCTCGAACCAAAAGTGGGAACAAAAGTCGTAAAAGAGTGAACGGAAAGCAAAAAATTTCTTCCTTTAGGCAGGAAGGATTCCATTGAGAATATGAGAAAAGATCAAAAAGCAACAATTAATAATTCAAAATTCGCAGTGGGAGGAAAATAACAAACCTGCTTCTTCAGCTTTTCTTGAGGCTAAATTTACTTCATGCCTCCCTCTTCCTCCAATTCTGATTGGATCCTCCATTAATAAACCAATTTCTTTATCCTCTCGACTCCACTCCCTAACATCATCATCCGATGAAATTAGTGTTTAAATTACCCCAAATCTTACAAAATGTTAAAAAAGATCACCACGCATTTAGTTCAGCAATTCAAGAACGAACTTCTTTTCCACAAAATCTTTTCCAAAAATTTCAAAAATCTAGAATCTTAGAACAGATTTCTGCACATAATTATCAAGATTCGCTGTATTAAAAAAAGCCACCAGAAATTCAAGCTTCATACTCACCACAACAGGAAAATGCTTTGACGAGAACGAGAGAATTGATGGAGTAGGTTTTGCAATTAACTCGAAATCCTTTTTCAATCCAAGAAATAGTTTTCGAAATTACTGCAATTGATTTAATTAATACTCCTTTTTATCTTTTTTTCCTTTGTCGTAGCCTGTGTTGTTAAGGTTTGTAGTAAAAGAGGAAAGGTTTTTTGGAAGAAGGTTCGGAAACCGAGCCTCAGGCTCCGGAAATTGTGACGTTACTTCCAGATGATTTGAATTCAAATATGTTGGGTCCAACATCATCACCGTTGATTTTAAAGGGCGAAGTAATCTATGCCGTTAATTTTGTGAACGTTGGAAGAAACTCTCGGCTCGGAGTTTGGGCTGGGCTTTCCTTCGGTGATAACGCAAAACTAAAATCAACGAAAAGCCTTAAAAGATTGAACTTATACAGTAAAATTTAAGCCATAAAACTAATATATTGTGTTTACTATGAATAAATACAATAGTTTATACCATAAAACATAAATATCCACAATGCTTTATACAATAAAACAGTAAGTAATTTAAGCTATAAAATGTAAAAACTTCCACAATGATTTACAATATATCATAAGAGATGTAATGCAACTACCACATCACCATTTTATGTTATTACATTTTATTCTACTTTTTTCTACGTTTGTTTCCACTATGAAAGTGCAGTGTAATAAATTAGAGTACTAACTACGAAATCAAATGTTACAATTATGCGGTTCGATAATAGTATACTCGATGTGATGGTAAAAAGTATAATTTTATTTAATAGTAATTAACTTGCTATTTACTGCCAGTAAAAATAATACAATAACGAATGTAGTAATACTAATACACCATTCTTTTGAAATACTCATCCTAACCCTATGTGTTGACTGCGTAGTCAAGGGAATGAGGAATGATTTGGATGTTCAGGGGCTTTTTCGTCCTTATACCATAAGAAATTTGGGAAACTCCCTAAAACCCTAAAACCCTGTCAATTTCTCGTCATTGCCGTCAGCTTCAATAAGGCCCCCGTCGTCTTACCACCGGCGGTAAGTCCCCTCCTCCACCAAGATCACCGCCGTTCTTCTAGCGATCTATTTTTTCCTTGAATACTCTTCTTTCACACACACGTAGTCATCGAATATCTGTTTTTTTTTTTGGTCAAGATTGTTTCGTTTGAATTGATTTCTGAATATTTCTCCGATCAAAGGTTCCTGTTGCAATTGAATGTATCTAATTTCATTTCTTGAATTGATCTTCTGACGGGGATTGGGTAGTAAACTCAATTAGGAGATTGATTCGTTTTTTGCATTGAATTGATAGATGTGATTAACTAGGGAGAAACCTTGTAGCTTGAATGTGGGCGGAGGTTACATCTGCTGGAATTTTGTAGGACATGGATGATATTTTTCGTGTGGGGATATTATAGTTAAAGCTGCTATTATTTACGAAATGAAATACTGTGGAGAAAGTGAGGAGGATATGGCTGCTGATATTGATTCGCAAAAGGCTGTATCTGGGATTTATATGATTTATATGTTCCGTGGTTGCATTGCATTGTTGGTTGTTTCTGTGAGGTGTTTAGAATTTAGGGAAGTTTTGTTCTTTTCCAGCTCTTATGGAATTAAGACTAACAGTCTTATATTCCAAAAGGATGAAGTGTTAAGTTGCATTTTCTGTTTGTTGGCTTAATGCACTGAGACTTAAGTGATTATTATATTTGATCTGTTGTTTTGCAAATACAAATTAAGCCTCTTTTTTTTCTGGTCAATAACCCGGGGAGTAAATTGAGTGGGTGAGTGAGTACATTGGGGATGGTAATCTTTTCTGGGTTAAGATACAGGGATTGTTAGCATTTAGTTGTAAGAAAAAGAGCTGTTTAGGTACTTCTGAATCTGGTATGGCTGCAGTAGTAACGTGAAGAAACCACAAAAAATATCCTCGGCTGTTTGTATCCTGTTACTACACTTGTTTTGAAGCATATATCGAGACTCTAGGGGTGGTTATGTCCTTGCATTGTACTTGTTATTTGTGTGGCTATGTGCTTTTGTTCATTCAAATTAAAAATCTTGGAAACTGTTTCATTGATGTCTATAAATTGTGTTCCTTTTCTTTTGTGTGTTTCAGAATGTGTGTTTGGATTCTTGAAATGGATAATAATCAAAAGGCAGTAGAGAAATCTAATCCCACTTCTGATATTACTACTGCGAATGATTCAGAGATATCAATTGATTCGCTGGAAAGAGTGAGGTTGATCATTTATTGTATTTGAAGCTTAATTGACAGGAATATCAACATACTACACATTTGTTGTAAATGCAGACAATGCTTGTGTGGATTTATTGGTTAACCGGTTTGGATGTGGAAACCTAATTAAGCCATATATCTCTCTTTTCTTTTTCTTTTCCCTAATTACTCTGATTTATCATTTTCGGATTCTGAATTTGTTTTGGTGCTTTTGTTTCATTGGCGAAAAGATATTAAGTTAATGATATTCATCCAATTTAGTGCTGTCTATGTGTAGTCCAATTACCAAAAGCTTTGGCTTCTGATTAGTTAATTTGTTTTCATATGTTTGCAGAATATTCACTTGGTGGTGTTTGGCATACCCGTACCTTATTGTTCGAGGATGGTTTTAGAAGAAGAAATGATTGATAGGGTCAGGAATAAAGACAAGAAGTCCAAGGAGAATTCTAAGAAACTTAAGAATGATGCAGTTAGTGGTGATGTGATTTGTGAGCCTGGGAACGTTGACACAGATAGGATGCTTAATGATGGTACAGGTTTTGAGAATAAAAGTGGTGAAAGAGGAGAGATTGAGAAGAAGAAGAATAAGAAGAAAAAGGTGAAGTACATGTTAGAAGCTCAAGAAAGTGATGGTGACACCAAGAAGGTTGAAATTGATAGTAACAAGGAGTCTGAGGTTATTGCAGAAAAGATGCATGATGCAAATGGCATAAAGAAAGTTAAAAAGAAGAAGTGGAAGGAGAGTGATAAGAGGGGAAGCTCTGATATTCATTTGCAAGAGAAAAGTTTTGAGGATTTTGAGGACAGAAGCACAACTGGGGAACATAATATTGAGTTGCAAGATGGATCAGGTGCTATAGCAGTGGGGCTGGAATCGGATAGAGTTGCTGTCTTGTTGGAACAAAAGAAGACAAAGAAAAAGCGGAAAACATCCAAGAGCAACTTAGATTTGGATGAACCATTAGGTGACAGCCGTGACCTGGAAAGTGGTGAGGAAGGGGCAAGGAGAAAGAAGAGGAAGAGAGGGAAGGATCAGAGTATAGTTTCAGAAGATGAAGGCCAAGAGCATGATTTTAACAATATTGAGTTGCAAGATGGATCAGGTGCTATAGCAGTGGGGCTGGAATCGGATAGAGTTGCTGTCTTGTTGGAACAAAGGAAGACAAAGAAAAAGCGGAAAACATCCAAGAGCAACTTAGATTTGGATGAACCATTAGGTGACAGCCGTGACCTGGAAAGTGGTGAGAAAGGGGCAAGGAGAAAGAAGAGGAAGAGAGAGAAGGATCAGAGTATAGTTTCAGAAGATGAAGGCCAAGAGCATGATTTTAACAATCCAGATGATAAACGACAGTCAAATGTTGCTGAGGGAGATAATAATGAGACGCTGAAAGGGACAAATGTTGGAGTAATTGCAGAGGATGATGTTGTATTGAAGGATAAGAAGAGGAAGAAAAAGAGCAAAAAAAGAAAAGGCGACTTAGCTTCAGGTGCTGATACAAACATGAGTTCAGAAATGGACAGCCATTTGAATGATGAAACTGAAGGCAGGCAGGATGAGGCCAAATCTGTTGAGAAAGAATCTGAAGATCCTAAGACTAGAAAACGCAAGAAAAAGGTGAGATTTTCAGGAGAGGATGAAGTTTTCGCTATGCCTGAGGTGGAACTAGTACGGGGTAAGCGGTTCTCTGAACAAGAAGATGAAATGGTGAGAGCAGCTGTATATAATTATATAGAGGCCCATGACTTAGGTGACGAAGGCCTAGATATGGTCTTGCACTGCAGGTCAAACCCCAAAGTTAAGAATTGCTGGGACGAAATAGCAGCTGGCATACCGCATAGGCCCCGAAGTTCTGTTTATTTTCGTGCTCATGTTTTGTTTCAAAGGGATGAAAAGCGCAAATGGACTAAAGAAGAAATGGAACAACTAAGAGAGCTCCATAAGAAGCATGGAAACAAGTGGAAGACTTTGGCTGACGAACTTGGTAAATATAGATATCATGTTAAGGATGCCTGGCGCAATATAAGACATGAAAGTATGAAGCATGGGAAATGGTCGCAGGATGAGTACCAGTCTCTATTTGATTTAGTCAATCTTGATTTGAGAATGAAGTATTTTGAAGAGAAACATTCCAAGTATGGGATGCTGCGGGATAATATTCCTTGGACTGCAATCAGTGATAAGTTGACCACTCGAGCAGAGCCATCTTGTTGTTACAAATGGTACTATTGCTTATCATCACCTATGGTTGGGGAAAAGATTTGGCTTGATTCTGATGATTATCGCCTGCTTGATGCTCTTTACCAGTTGGATGCCACTTGCTATGAGGATGTCGACTGGGACAGTATTCTCGAACACCGGTCCGGTGATGTATGCCAAAGGCGTTGGAAGGAAATGGTTCGGCACATAGGTGACAGTAGGAAAAAGCCATTCCCTGATCAAGTGGAGGTTCTAGCACAACGATATTGTCCAGAGTTACTTGACGCTAGAGAAAACTGGGAAAACAAACCTTATGTCTCATAGTGTCTTTTTTCATTAAATGGTTAAATGTTATACCATCAAAATTGCATGATTTGAAGTGTCATGAATTGCACTTGTCTTAACAATGTGAAGTTGCTTGGGTTGAGATGAAATACATCGTGTTCTGTTACAGTAATATGTTATCTAAACAATCAAAAGTATTACATTTCTTGCCTTTGGTACTTTGGGGGTGAGTTAGAATCACATTTAGTGAAATTTCGATGAAGAACACGAGCAGTAATAGTAATGGTTAATCACCATTCATACAATCTCGTTCTGAGTGTAAGCCCTCTTTTAACCATCACAATCTCTCACTGTAGGATCTCTGTACTTGTGGTAAGCAAATCTGTTCATCTGGTTGTACAATATTGGACCAACAACCTTGCCTTTGTTCAAATTCAGAAAAGGAAAACTAGTTCAAGAAATACTCACACACTAGATGTGAAAGGCTAAAATTGCGTTAAAAGTTCTTAAACATATTGACACCTTAGGACGCCTCTCTAGTCACCTCTTCAGCAGACCAGCCGCATTTCTTATATAACTCCACTTTGTTATCAAGTTGTTTCGTCATCACCATGACAGAAACTGCATCAATGTAGGGTAGTCTTTGAGGATTAAAACCTATAGCCTTAACTCTGTCCACACTCCACACATTCTTCTTCTCTGTTAAATTGCACTGCTAGATAATTGGTATGGAATTACGTGCCAATTACTCCCACTTTCTTTTTTGACCATTGGAGAGCGTATATATATAAACTGACGGCACTTGAATTTGGGCCACCTAATAAACCAATTTGTGTAAAACAATTATATGAAATTCTAGTTAGTACTTTTTGCTCACGGATTAGAAAGTAAAGAACACCAGATCAAGGAACACCAACCTTACGTGAAATCTCAATCGTAGGTGCCACTTTACACTTAAAAAATTCTTAATTAAAACCTCTGACAATTGCTTAATAGCCGAAAACGCCTCTAACTCCGAATTAAGCATGTCCTTAAAGAGGCGCATATTCAACTATTTTAGTCCACACCCTAATATACAAACATATACTATCTTTGGATCAAATGGATGGAATGCGACAAGCCTTACTAAAGTCACCATGCATATTTAAGGAGCATATCTTCATCTCAGAAATGAAGAAAAAGAAAAATAAGGAAGTGCAATGTTTTCAAACTTTGTTGTATATATGTTGAAGACACTAAATCACCCGATCAATCTCAAACTCATGTTGGAGCTCCCATATTTTGAAACTCATGGATGATAAATTCCAAGAGACTCAGAACATCGATGGCATTAGTCCTTGAGTGAGTCTTGCAATGGTGTTCTAAGAGTGGAATACTTTGGATGGATAATATGTTCTTTTCCGATTTTGTCTTGAAAAAGGGTGAGAGTACTAATCCTTCAGCCATATATAACTCGAGACTGATACATCTCCTTCGGAAGCTATGGCTCAGTTATATGCCATGCTTCTTATTCATTGTTTAATGATCTTTTCCCAACCGAGTTTGTTGATCAGCCGCTCAGACATATCTGCTGACCGAAGATTTTGAGCATTAACAATTTTTTCAAGATTTTCAATTATCAGAGCAAAAAGGAGTCAACGTGTAATTTGTAGTAGTTGATGCGCTTGAAGCATTTGGAAGAGCTTTTTAAGGTTTGCGCATACGCTCCCATGTATATTTTAAAGGTTTTTTCGTCAATTAAAAATGCGTACTAGGTTAAACCTAGAATAAAAAATCAAAATGCCTTATATTAAGGACCGGAGGGAGTATTTGTTGTCCTCAGTCTCTGAAGCTGTTCGAATTCTATGGGAGAAATCCTGCATAAGATTCTCAAGTGAGAAGATATTAAACTAGTAAATCTCATCCTAAACACGTATTTAATTCCTCATTATAGATAGTTTGCTTTTTGTTATTGTCTCCAAATGCAGCTCAAAACTTTCATTTCTCTCTTCACATTTACCCTTAAAGTCTAATTGAACTTATAGTTTGACTAGAGATTATCTTGTGCATGATATTTTGTTGAGCTTCCATTTGAAGCTCGACTTGGATTCAACAAGATAATACGTAAGCTATATCATTCTAGTACGATTTCAAGAACGAACTTGTCATTGAGTACAAAAGGTTAAATTAGAAATTAACAAACGACAAAAAGATCTAAAGTGTATTAAACACATTGGAATACGAACTAACCAAAATTGCCTTTTAACCATTGAAAATACACGATTTAGCTACCTCTGGTCAAATGTGATCAGGAAACATTGCATTGCTCCAAAATTTGAGTCAACTAAAAGTGAGTTAGCAAAACATAATCTGAGACCATGCGTAGAATGTCCGCTTGCAAAAATGTTGAACAAATTAGAAGTTATAATCTAAGAATGTTTCTTAATTTTAAGGAAGAAAATCTGCATAATTTATTCAACCAATTTACGATCGAGAAAAAGTAAAAAAATATAAAACTACCAAGTTTCTTCAAAAATTAAACCAAAATTAAGTTGGCTAGTAATTAATGTGAGCATGTAAACTATTTGGGCAAATTATCTGGTACACCCGGGGGCACCGTGTACCCCCTGCGCGTGTACTTTACTCTCTTAGAATAACGTGAGTCCGCTAGATAATTCAGCTTTCTTTTTCTTTTTTTTTTTAAAACGCGACATATATGAATTACCGAATTCATTCAAATTTTGAAAACTTTGTAATGGAGTATTATTGTTGGGCGACGGCCGGTGGCGATCGAGGCATTGAGGCGGCAATGGGAGTCGGCGATCAAGGTGTTGAGGTGGATACGGCCGGCGGCGATCAAGTCGTTGAGACGGCGACAACGTTCAGTGATCGAGGAAAGGCTCCGATTCCACCAGAGTGGCGAAACGATGATTGGATCGACGATATGCTGAGTTCAGATCGAGTGATTAGTTATCTCGTCGAGGATTCCGGCTTGATGAATGCGGAATGTAGTGGTGGCAAATCCATCGAACAATCTTACTGTGCCAGCAAATCAATGCAAGGTCACAGTTCTGTTGTTGATCCGCTGCAATCAGGTTTGTGTAGGTTTCAGAGTGTACTGTTTGTGAGAGAAGAATCAATCTAGTTGTTTTCATTTTGTTTTTCTTGATTTTTCTTTTGATAGTTTTTGTTAATGTTGTATGGAGTGGATAATAAGCAGTTATACTGTGTTGGATATCGTTTGTTATTTAGATGGATATGCGGATATGCTTTTTGTTGATTGTCGTAAACATGGATAGACGATGTGAAGTATTGATTATGAAATTTTTTTTTTGTTTTACTGGTTTTCCTACTCGTTTTGTGCTGGTTTTCAAACTTGTATGAAATTTGTATGAATATCCAACTTGTTTGTACTGGATATCTAGCTTATGTGTACTGGTTATCCAATGGATTTACATGCCTATCCAAATTTTATTTACTGGATATCCAACTAATTTGTACTGGATATCCAATATTTTTGAGTTGTTTATATTCAATTGGTGTATCTGAGTTGGAAGAGATGGTTTGGTGTCATCCCGGTCTCAAATTTCTTGACACAATGTTCAGAACTGATTGGCTGTGGATCTTGACCAATCATCAGTTTGTTCTCAAGTTTCCTTCTTTTCTTTTTGGGCTTCTTATCATCAGCGGAGTCATTATCATTAGCGACCACAAGTTCCTTCGGATTTTCAGTCGGCGTGCTCTTCTTTCTCTTTGGTTTCTTCCACAAGTTGTGGGGCCTTGGACTTCAAGCAGGGGACTGTTCTTCTTGTGTTGATTTTAGTTTTTTAAATATCACCAGTGTTCCATCAGGGAGCTCCATTACCTCTGGTTCAGGATCCGGTGATCTGTCTGGGTTGCGGTTAAGGTCGTGGCTTGCGCTGATCCATCTGTGCCTATGTTTTGTTCTAAGCTCCTTTAGGGCACTGTTGGCATTGGACAATCACTAAGAAGTCAGTGGACAAAATAGCAGCATATGAAAATGAGCAGTAATCAAAAAGGAGTAACCAGTATAAAATGGGTGGATAACCAGTAAATAATGTATGGACAAGTAGCCACATAACCAGTAAATAATGTATGGACAAGTAGCCACATAAAAGCACATCTAAAAAAAACAATGGATAATCAGTTTACACCCTGCGGATAACCAGTATAAAATAGGTGGATAACCACAAACAAAGTTTGGACAAGCACCCCATAGCACACACGCAGGAAAACATGGATAACAAGTTCAGATATAATGGATAATCAGTAACAAAAAAACACAAAAACATGGATAACCAGTTCAGTTTGTCCATGCCACATAGAATCAAATGTAAAAAAAGTATGGATAACCAGTTTACAACTTGTGGATAATCAGTTTACACCTTTTAGATAACCAGTTTACAACTTGTAGATAACCAGTATAAAATGAGTGGATAACCATCAATTATGGCATGGACAACCAGGAAAACATGGATAACCAGTTCAGATCTAGTGGATAATCAGTAACAAAATTATGGATAATCAATAAAGCATGAATAAGAAACCATATGCGAATGCAACCACATATCAAACGCAACAAGGCATGGATAACAAGTTCAGGTCTAATGGATAAACACAAAATAATGGATAATCAAAAAAATAGGAACCCAGGGTAATATACTTACGAGTGAAGCATGTGTAGATGAAGGAGAGCTTGAGATGGCCGGAGGTAGGGTTTCTCGCCGTCGTCTGTGTGTTTGTGTGTGTGTGTGTGTGTGTGTGTGTGTGTGTGTGTGTGTGTGTGTGTGAAAGAACAGACTGAGAAAATGAAAAACGCAGAGAGAAGATAAAGTTATCAAAATCGTCTTCCAGCGGAGGTTTTCCGTCGACTTTGTGTAATTTTGTGGTAGTGGTCAATTTTGTATTTGCCCTAAAATGGAGAGTTTCCATCGACTGTGTGTTTGTGTGTGTTTTTGCGTGAGGATGAAAACAGTAAAATGGATGAAAACAATTTTGTTTGTGCATTTAATGTAAAGGTGAAAATAGTTGAGTGCGTGTAATGCGTGTGTTTGGTGGGGGGTATACGGTACACCCAGGTACACTGGATACGGACTCACTATTTGTGCTCAGGAAACATGTAGCTTTCCTTACATCGTCGTATCCTTACGTACATAAATGATGATATATACTCCATGAATTTGTATCTTAAAATAATTGAATAACATTGACTAAACATAAAAA